TATCAGTATGTGGTGTCTCTACTTTAAAGAGTCCTCTCCTGCTGATGTTCAGGTGTATATCAGTATGTAGTGTCTCTACTTTAAAGAGTCCTCTCCTGCTGATGTTCAGGTGCATATCAGTATGTAGTGTCTCTACTTTAAAGAGTCCTCACCTGCTGATGTTCAGGTGTATATCAGTATGTAGTGTCTCTACTTTAAAGAGTCCTCTCCTGCTGATGTTCAGGTGTATATCAGTATGTAGTGTCTCTACTTTAAAGAGTCCTCTCCTGCTGATGTTCAGGTGCATATCAGTATGTAGTGTCTCTACTTTAAAGAGTCCTCACCTGCTGATGTTCAGGTGTATATCAGTATGTAGTGTCTCTACTGGGACATGTCTCCATGCTTTAATGTTCAAAAAGCTCTTTATTTTTCTCATACTGTCTGTGCTGCAGCACCTCTTTTCACCCTCTGTCTGAAACCAGAGCCCAGTCTGCTCTGATTGGTTAGCTGGCCGGCTCTGTTGTGATTGATCAACCGCATAGAGATGTCTCGCCCCTTGGCCTATCACGTACAATGTGTTGGAGCGCAAGCCAATAGAAGTGCGAGTGTTACATAGTGATGTCACTGTCACGGAAGTAACATTTGAGAAAGGACTCAATTGTCACATAATAAAAATAGTACTTTTTTTGTGTAAAGGCAGTAAAAGAAACCCGACATTCTCTCTGAAGTCCTGAAAGATTATAATATTATTTTAATATTAATAAGTAAAACATTATCTCAGGTTCTCTGTCGAACACTCATTATAATCTCCTGACGATGTCGACTCTCCTCTGCAGGAATTTGCTCGTTTTTACCTGAACAAACATCAGTCGGAGAACGTGGAGACGACACAGGAGCTGTACAGCCCCACAGGTCGGTTCCTACACTCTCTCACTCTGCAACATAATCATGTCAGGGATTTATATTATTATTTTCAAGATGTTTAAGTCAAATGTACAGAACTTGAATATCTTCATATATCCATTTCTACTTTTAATATTTTTTCAATTGGGTTTGAATATATAAAATACCATCCATCTTCTACCGCTTATTAAATACCAATTTAATTAATTAAATGTTGCATGAAGAAATGACTTAAGTTAAATGGGTACCACTTACAATAAGACTACCCTTATAAAGGATTCATAAAGGGTTTATAATTAGGTTATGAATTAGGTTGTAAACACTTTATTAATCATTAAGAACAATTTATAAACCAGTTCTAACATAGTTTTCATACATCAACACAGGCTCACTATTTGGCAAGATGACTAAGCCTTACATTGGCTACTTAGCGAGAATCAACTCCGTGAGCAACAGATACCAAAGATGCTGGCTGATGAAGAAGATGAAGTAAGCTAATGGCGCATTTCCACCGAAGGCCTCGCTCGACTTAGTACGGTTTTGTTAGGCCTTGTTAGGACTGGCTCACTTTATGCTGCGCTTCCATTACAGTTTAGGAACTGGGGCAGTTACTATAGCAACGCAGTGTAGGCGGAGCCGTGACGTCATCTTCAATGAGCACCCCAGAAAAACAACATCAGCCGTTAGCTGTTAGCACTCAAGCTCACAGCTCCTCATATATGTTCAGAAACTAGACAAAAGTTAAACAAGTACAAACCACAGACTGTCTGTGTCATGGTGAATACAGTCGCTGCTTTATTTATGTCTGTATAGGCCGTTGTTGTGAGTGTGGACGGTCGGAGCATATACTGCGTTAGCTTAGCCAATCTCCATTTAGACAACACGCATTTTAAAAGGTTTTTCGCCTGCCGTCTTGTCTGCAGACTTGTCAAAGCATTAATTCATGGTTTTTACTAACCGGTATCAGTATGTTGTTACTTCGGCATAATTTAGAAACGTGTATTACAATTAAATCACGGTCAAATATGTTCATGTTGTTGTAGTTGTAGCCCCCTTGCCAGCGATTCTCTCTCTAGTTTAGCAAACTCAGCCCGACTCAGCCCTGTTTGTTGGCCCCGATAGAACCACGATTTTGTCGGGCCAGAAAAAAGGTGAAAAAGTACCCCCGGGCCGGAACTAGGCCTAGTGGAAACGCAACCAAAAACGGGCCCGGCACGACACGGCACGATTAAACCGCGCTCCGCGCCATGGTGGAAATGCGCCATAAGTAGCCAATATAAGGCTTAGCAGTACAGATAAATGTGGGCTCACTATTTGGCAAGCAACCGGTCACAGTTGCCCTGTTTATCTCATGTCTTATAAAAGCTTATTAATGATTTATAAAGTGTTCACAACCTAATTAATAAATGAATTACAAACTATTCGTAAGCCCTTTATAAGGCTAGTCTTATTGTAAAGTGGTACCGTTAAATGTAGCTTGGTTGCAATAAATATCAATCAATTATATAAACAGGAAGTCACTGATGGAAAGGCAAGCTTTTATTTATATAGTACATTTTCTCATGAAAGGGCATCAAAATAGTTTAGCATTCAGCACAAAAACTTAAAAACAAGCAACAAATGAAACAGAAATTAAGACAATGTCTAATAAGATTTACATTTTAATGTTGACTTGAGCTTGAATGTACAAACAGCTATTAACGCTGGCTGATGGAGAAGTAACTGATATATTTTCATTGATTTCCTTTCAAAAGACAAGAAAGTGTTAGAAAACGGCTCCAAACACCAGGAGGCCAACGGGAAGCTCTTCAAAGAGCCGGAGGAGGTTCAGGAGCCTTCGTCCGTCCTGCAAGTCTTCAAAAAGGTGAGTTTTATTTTTATTTAATAGGTTTTTGTCCAAGTTTTTAAAGACAGCTGGTTAAGTCTAATGATTTGGGCATCGTCACTGTTCAAGGAGATGGACTGTTTTACTTTGCATCCATTGTTTTGGATCCATTTTGGATATTTTATTCTACTTTAATATCTTTAAATGTGCCTTTTATACGATCAAAAGTCAAAACCCCCAAATTATTTAGTTTGCAATAATATAAAACAGAGAATTCTCGCATTTAACAAGCTTTTTTTAATGCATAATACAGGATAAGTGACTGCATTTTGTCTTTTATTCAATCTCATGTCCTTCTGACTTTAAAGCCTCTTGTCATTTATTTATATATATATTATATACGTTTAAAAATGTATCCATCTTTGAAATGCTGTTCATCCATTTGTTTTCCTAATCCTTACTATTAGTATAATTATTATTCTTGCATATTAGCCTTTAAGCACATCCTCTCGAGCATTTCACTGCCCTCTTTACAAATATGAGTATCTTACAAATAAATGTGTGTGTGTGTCCTGCAGATCTGGCTGATGGCTATGTGTGTGACGTGTGTGTTTGCCGTCACACTCTCAGTGTTTCCTGTCATCACACTCCGAGTTAGGACCGTCTACCAAGGCAACCCGGTCTGGGGTGAGACACAACATCTTTATCTCTGTTCACGTCAAGAGGACATATCATGCTGATGTTCAACTTCAGGTGTATATCAGTATGTAGTGTCTCTACTTTAAAGAGTCCTCTCCTGCTGATGTTCAGGTGTATATCAGTATGTAGTGTCTCTACTTTAAAGAGTCCTCTCCTGCTGATGTTCAGGTGTATATCAGTATGTAGTGTCTCTACTTTAAAGAGTCCTCTCCTGCTGATGTTCAGGTGTATATCAGTATGTAGTGTCTCTCCTTTAAAGAGTCCTCTCCTGCTGATGTTCAGGTGTATATCAGTATGTAGTGTCTCTATTTTAAAGAGTCCTCTCCTGCTGATGTTCAGGTGTATATCAGTATGTAGTGTCTCTCCTTTAAAGAGTCCTCTCCTGCTGATGTTCAGGTGTATATCAGTATGTAGTGTCTCTACTTTAAAGAGTCCTCTCCTGCTGATGTTCAGGTGTATATCAGTATGTAGTGTCTCTATTTTAAAGAGTCCTCTCCTGCTGATGTTCAGGTGTATATCAGTATGTAGTGTCTCTATTTAAAGAGTCCTCTCCTGCTGATGTTCAGGTGTATATCAGTATGTAGTGTCTCTACTTTAAAGAGTCCTCTCCTGCTGATGTTCAGGTGTATATCAGTATGTAGTGTCTCTACTTTAAAGAGTCTTCTCCTGCTGATGTTCAGGTGTATATCAGTATGTAGTGTCTCTACTTTAAAGAGTCCTCTCCTGCTGATGTTCAGGTGTATATCAGTATGTAGTGTCTCTACTTTAAAGAGTTCTCTCCTGCTGATGTTCAGGTGTATATCAGTATGATGTGTCTCTACTTTAAAGAGTCCTCTCCTGCTGATGTTCAGGTGTATATCAGTATGTAGTGTCTCTACTGTGACATGTCTCCATGCTTTAATGTTCAAAAAGCTCTTTATTCTTCTCATGCTGCCTGTGCTGCAGCACCTCTTTTCACCCTCTGTCTGAAACCAGAGCCCAGTCTGCTCTGATTGGTTAGCTGGCCGGCTCTGTTGTGATTGGTCAACCCCTTTAGACCTCTTGAAAAGTGACTTGATATAACTGAACACTCCTTTATTTACAGAAAATGTGTTCACCTGCGTCTGCTGCTTCATCGTGTTCAACGCCTTTGACCTGGCCGGCCGCGGCGCCCCGTCTCTCGTCCAATGGGTGAGTCTGCTGCTCAGCTGGGGAAAAACATGTTCTTTGGAGTACAAAGTAAAACATTTGCCTCTGAATTATAAAGGAACACCTAAAGTACCAAACAAAGGAACAAATTCAAAATGATTACTTCATTATTGTACACAAATGTTCATAGACTTAAGTTCCAGACTCCTCTAATATTGCAACATACAGTATACTTAGCACATACCAAGAAATAAAGAGAGTTGGAGAGCAGTTTGAGACACGGTCGCCATCTTGGCCACATCAGTACTTTTTAAATGTTCTTTCCACCTCTTCCTCTGCTATTTCTGCTTTTTAAATGTCTAATTATTCCCGTGATGGACTCCTGAATGTTTCTGTGTGTGCAGCCCTCGAAGGAGAGTCCTCTGTTTCCCGTCTCCGTGTTCTCCCGCCTGGTGTTCATCCCGCTGCTCATGATGTGTAACGTGGAGAACTCGAACCTCACCATCCTCTTCAGCCATGACTGTGCCTTCGTCACCATCATGGCGCTCTTCTCCTTCACCAACGGATACCTGGCCACCCTCTGCATGTCCTACGCCCCACAGTGAGTCAACGTTTATTGATTTCTTTGTCAAATTCACAAGCTGCCCGGCAGTAAATATGTTCCTAACCAGCTGCAAGAACTATCTATATCTATCTATCTATCTATCTATCTATCCGTCTGTCTGTCTGTCTGTCTGTCTGTCTGTCTGTCTGTCTGTCTGTCTGTCTGTCTGTCTGTCTGTCTGTCTGTCTGTCTGTCTCTATCTATCCATCTATCCATCCATCCATCCATCCATCCATCTATCTATCTATCTATCTATCTATCTATCTATCTATCTATCTATCTATCTATCGATCGATCGATCGGAGAGGGAGAACCCCAAAGAGCAGAATGGGGCCTCTTTAACTTTAGAGTTTCCCTTCATGTAGTAACAGTGTGTGTGTTCTTCAGGTTGGTGCGCTCTAAAGACTGCGAGACGGCCGGCTCTCTGATGTCCTTCTTCCTGGTTCTGGGTCTGGCTCTGGGAGCGTCTCTCTCCTTCCTGCTGGTGAAACTGGTTTAACCACCTGAGAGATCAACAAGAACAAAAGTCAAGAGCAGTCTTCCGTACGTACCATTCTCTGAGTTGACCTTTGAAGCTATTGAGAGTGGGACAATCCCGTATCTCAGTTGGGAGGCTATTCCACAAAGAGCTGCCTTTAATGGAGAGGACATTTTGACCAAAAGTGGTCCGTCTACGGTGAACTTCACAGTCTCCTCTGGTTTCTGACCTAGTGCAGCGTCCAGTGTGTTTTCTGTGGATGAATTCCCCTAAGGGGGGGGGGGGGCAGTCCATGTAAACATTTATAAAAAAAACACATACTTTTAAAAGACTTAAAATGGTCAAAACTCAAGAAATTGTGTTTATCAATGATGGTACAGTGGTGGTATGAATAAGGCTTTCTGTCAAACACCTTGATAGCTCTCTTGTACAGCTGTTCTATGGGTTTCAGGTTTCAGGTACAAGCAAATGACCAGTTTGTCAAACAGTATTCAATGTATAGAATCATACAGTGGAGGTATGACTTTGCAGCATTGACAGTTAAGAAAGGTCTAATTTGTTTAAAATGTTGCAAGTTGAATTTAATGGCGTTGGATACTTTCTTAATATGTTTCTTAAAAGTCAAGTTCGAGTCCAGTATGACTCCAAGATACTTGAACTGGGAGACTAGTTTACATTTAACTGTAAGCAAATGTTGTTCAGCCAGTGTTGAACCTTGTCCTTAGGATAAGTTCAAGTAAAAAAATGGAAATGTTATAATAATATATATATATGTTATATACATTTAGTTCATATAAATTAATAATCTCTATTCATTCAATAAAAACACTTGAATGTAAGTTTGATAAACCACAATATTAATTAAATAATAACATTTTCACTTGTTAACTGTCGTATCAAATGCATAACGTTTGTTCGGTGTGAACATGAAGGCGGTTTCAATGTTGAAGGACAGATGAAAATAAAGGACGATTTGTGGTTAAAATGTTGCTGCAACACAGCAAAAAAATATGAAGACAAATTGAAAAAGAAGCAGATTTTTCTCTCTCATTTCTTATTGAAAACACGCAGTGCAGATACTTTGGAAAGTGTTACTTTTTATTTTGCATGATGAAAGAAAATGTGTTTGCCATGAAGTGCTTTTTATTTTTATACCAAAAATGTTTTGCACTGGTCTGGAGGCACTTCACTGAATAAATATTTGATAGGGGATACATCACTTAAAGTGGACCTATCATGCTATATTATAATAATATAGTGTAGGACCATACCTATATAAGGCATATTTATACTTTTTTTTTTTCAAAATACCAAACAGATCATGCATTTTAGCCATGCCTCATTTTGCTCAATTTGAAAAAATGTAGCTCTGTTTTTGCAAGGGCTGATTCAGTGAGAACAGCACCACCTACAGGCCTGGCATATGTACTACAGCGTCTCCAGCGCTTTCGAACGGCAATGGCCGTGGCTGTCTCCTCCTGATTGGTGGAGTTGGCCCAATAGCCGTAGCGCCACCGTCCTGACGTCAGGACAGTGTTCAAATCTGGATCAGTTTTTATCAGATCCGTTGCAGCCCCTTTTTTAGAGATTTGGGTATGGAGGAAAATAGAGAGGGTTGTGTTTTCTGACACTTGGTGAGTTCCCTGGAACACCGGGGACACATTCATGTATAAAAGACGTACAAAAGTGCATTTTGCATGATAGGTCCCCTTTAAGAAAAAGGTTAGGGAAACACTGGATAAAGGGGCCTTATTATGCTGTTAAAAAATCCCCTTTATTACATTTCAGGGTTTTGTCTAAACCGGATAACAGGGGCGCTGCGCCCTCATACCAAAATGCCAATTTTGCCCGTAAAGTTTTAAAGTGATGCCAGAAAACAGTATTTCTGTTCGTAAAAAACGTATAATTACTCAAATGTCAAATAGAGCGTCAGATGGCAGAGACAGCTTTGTTTTTTACAGTCGTCGCGTTGTTTACGTCTTGTATACGGGCTTCATGTTCTAGCGAGAATTTATACAAGATCAGCGCCACAGTATCGCCCTCATACCACATTCTTCTAGAAAATCCCCTGCATTTATTTGAAGTTTCAATCACAGCAGACCTTTTATTTTTACGTAAACCACGTGACATTTTTTTATACCTAGCAAAACAACTAAGCGGTTTACGGGTTAAATATTAATTCATTTTATGTTTTATTTTATTTTTCTATATTAAAACATACGAGTGAATGCCATTAATTCAACTTCTGCCTTTTGTTTGTAGTTTTTTTCTGTTGTAATTTATCTTTTAATGTATGGAGCTGAAAGTGTTTTTTCAACTCTGTCTAATGTATTTCATGAAACTGCAGGATTTGTCATTTTCTATAGATGTAGATGTTTTGTTTGCTTATTTATGTTTTTTCTACTCTGTTATTTTTATACAAACCAATGAAGGGGATTATGTGTGTGCTTTCATAATAAAATATACAAAATGGTCACTGTTGTTGTTTCCTTGGCCTTTCTGTTGGTTAACAGGCTTTCACACATGAGACAAAGATCAGACCATAAGATAAATGAGACATTTTTTATGAGCTGTTGTAACTTGAGCAGTGGCGGCCGGTAAATACAGTCAGAGAGATTATTACATTTTGGCTAAATATTTTAAATTAGCGATTCATATTTTCTTTGGAAGCATGCGGCATCTGTTGTTTCCTCTTCCTCCGGCTCGGCCCTTTCCTCTGACCTCGTGCTTCCTTCCATTCTCTTACTCTCCCTCCACGGAAAATGAAAAGGAAAGTTGCTACCAGACAAGTTTTTGTAAATGAAATTAGAAAAACAGGGAAAATCTGTACTTAAAATAGAGAAGTTGAAGAGAAAGCTCCGTACCTCTGCTGCAGACTGGTAAGGTGAGTCTTTTTGGACACTATTTGATACTTCTCTGGATTTCTGAGCAGCTTAAATTAAGTTCTTGTCAACCTCTAACGTGATACCTACAATTGGTAGAATTAAAGAAGCTTACCTAACATTATTTAAAACAAGAAAATACTTAGAAGTAAAACCACCCTAAAATGATTCCTCTTGTAAAAGTCCTTCGTTTACAATCTTAAGTAAAAGTATGTATCAGCTAAATGTACTTAAAGTATGGTAGTTTACTCAACAGCAATGCATCATATTCTGTAAGGTCCTCATATTTAAGCTTCTCAGAAAAAACAGCCCTTTTTTCAGTTTTGTGACGATGCATTTTCCAACAGATCCAAGAGGCTTTTTAAATAGTTTATTTAGCTAAACAAGTGGGAGAATTTTCTGAACAAATGAAGAAACACTTCATCATCTGCACACTTACTTGCACTGTCAGAAAATGTGGTTGTATTTGCTTCTGAAATGTAGTCAAATATAGGTATACGGTTGCATAAAATGAATACTCAAGTAGTGTATAAGTACCTTAAATGTGTAGTAAAGTACAATACCACATGTAACCTACCTAGTTACAACCTTCCACTGCTTCAAAGTACTGGTGATAGTCTGTACTTAATCTTATTGCAAACAAACAAAGCACATGAAAACACCAAAACCAAAAGTGAAGTTTTACCAAAGTTATCCATACCAGAGTAAACAGCTGTGTGAACTCTGCTCTCTATTAGACATATAGGTAAATAAATAGACTGACTGTTTGCTTTTACACAAACAAAAGACTTGTTTGCCATTTTTAGATTACAGCATGTGAAACCTAGAAGGAGTAAATTAAGGTAGAAGAATTCACTTTATTAATCCCACATTTGAAAATTATTTTGTTGCAGCAGCAGATTATCAACGCTGTGCACATGAGTTAAACAATTAACAGTAAGTATATACTGTACATATAGAACACACATGTATCTATAGAATACACCATTTCAAATATAAGGATTACCCTAGAATATACTAGACCAAACTAATGCTACTAACATTTAAACATAGTGTTTTTTATTCATTATATGCGAAGTATTTTTATTTATTGTTTGAAACTTAAATCAAAATCACAAATACTTTAATAATCACAGGGGAAATATTTTTTTTGTGACAGGTGTTTCATTATAGAATGAATTAAATTAAAAGATAAATAATATGTATAACAAAGAAGTCAGAATGTGCAGTAAAATATCAAATACACATAATAATTAAAGTAAAAATGTTCAATAAAAGATCAAATAAGATGTGTAAACATAAGAATTCAAGTTAACTGTCCAATAAAAGAATGAACATCAAGCACCAGCATATAGTGTGAGTTAAATGTAAAGTTATTTAAAGATCAAAGGTGTTAAAAAAACTGTTGCTCTGCTGAGAACAAACGCTTTCATATTTTTTGGTTTTGCCTGCAGTCACCGCCTCACAATGAGCTCTCTTGTTATTGACCTGAGAGAGAAAGGCATGCAGAGGGCAGCTGATTAACAGAGCAGTGTGTGTGTGTGTGTGTGTGTGTGTGTGTGTGTGTGTGTGTGTGTGTGTGTGTGTGTGTGTGTGTGTGTGTGTGTGTGTGTGTGTGTGTGTGTGTGTGTGTGTGTGTGTGATGAGGCAGGTTGGAGCTTTTTTCCGTCAGAGTGGACGGAGGAATGCAGTCTAACTGGATCTGCAGCTCCTTTTTTTCCCTCTGCTGTTTGTTTTCTTCAGATAAACAAAGATGGCGGACACACGTAGAGTGACAGAGCCGGGCAGAAAGGTGAGTTTAATTCAAACACACCTGAGAAACAGGAAGCAGCTGAGAGATTATGTAAAGTAACAAAAATGAGAGGAACCAGGGGGATAGTGTTTTATATTTCAGATTCACTGTTGGGATTAAAGTTTTATTTCTGAGGTGATTATTAAACTGGTTTACTAACTTTTTAAATAATCTGTTGTCGTTTAAACTGCGTCATGCATGCCAGAAGAGAAACTGCAACGTCCGGTCATTGTTAACAAAATAAAAGCTCTGTTTGCATACTGATCTGGCAGCTTTTTAAAATATATCTATGAAGTAATGATACAAGAATCAAATAAATTAAACTGTGGTCAATTGGTTCGAAATAAAGTTTGTTTTCTTGGTGCTAGTTTATTTGTTATTTTTGACACCTCGAGTTACAGCGAAAAGTTTGTTTTGAAGGAACCCACTGAACTTTTGGGGATTTGACGCAGCACGTGATGGTCACAGGACATGTGATGTCACGCAGTTAATTGAGTTTGAGTTGCTAATAATGACGTTGTTCCCTTCTTGTGAAAAATAGTTTACAAATTATGAATAATATTTGCACAAATAAGCATACACGTAATGTATTTATAAAACAAATAAAAATAGGAAAATAGAGGGAAAAGTAGAGGAAAATATGTTTCATACATTCACCAGTTTGTTTTACTTGATTGAAAGATAATGCATTACAAAATGATGTTATTTTAAATATGATTTATTTCTACATTCAATTAATGGAGTTTCGGATTATGTGTGGTAAAGGGGATCTATCATGCAAAATGCACTTTTTGATGTCTTTTATACATAAATATGTGTCCCCGGTGTGTCGGGGAACTCACACAGCGTCAGAAAATAAAACCCTTTCTCTTTTCCTCCGTACCCAAATCTTTTAAAAAACGGGGCTGATCCAGATTTGCTGCCGATATGACGTCAAATCGGCAATGCAGACCCACAGAAAGTTGCTATCAGAAACAATGCCTGACGTGTTTTGGACGTAATCTCGTCTTTGTTTACATTAGCAAGCCTCGCTAACACTCAGAGCTAACCTGTACTAGAGAGCACATGTGTTTAAAAAGCAGGAAATAAAAAAAGGAACTCACCTTGTGATAAACCCGCAAGAGAAAAAGCATTTGAGCTCCATACTGTTTCAGAAATAATCCTTGATGTGGTTTAGAACAGGATGGCGTTTTATCACAGCAGAATTTAACCTTATCTCCGGTAGAATTCTGATCAGGCATTAGCTCCGCCTCCTCTTTTTTTCTTTTTTCAAGCTAAGGACCCAAAATCCGCGTTTCTCTGGGGGTGTTTCTCAATGTCGAGGACGCTTGCTTGGTAGCACATGTCTTCCAAGTCACTTGCTTCAGAAGCGAGGCAAGAATCCTTCCTAGCCTCGGAAAACGAAGAATGGTGGAACAGGCTAACAGGTGTGCAGGTGTGCGTCATATGCGAGGCCCCGCCTGATATGGAGCGCGATTTCCGCCAAAGATTTGGAAATTGGTCCATGCGCAAAGCATTGTGGGGATTTTAAAGGTCCCATGTCATGGCCATTTCCACTGATCATAATTCCATTGTTGAGGTCTACTAGAATAGATTTATATTGTGCAATTTTCCAAATTCACATTGGTTTCTCAAACAGCATCTCTGTAAACTACGTGTATTCACTGAATTTCACTCTCTGCCTTTAACGGCTCGTTGTAGCTCCAATAGCTCCAGCCCCCACCCTCCCTGTGAGCACAGTGTGCTCTGATTGGTCGGGACGTTGTGAATCGCGCTGAGCTCCGTGGAGGTGTTGTTTCTTTGTTAGCGATACACAGCCAAACACAGCCAAACTCATCCTGAGCACACACAAACTCACAGCCGAAGTAAAAACAATACGTGTGGCTTGATATTGAGTAAGAAAAAGGTTGATAAACGCTGTGAGAATGGGTCTGCAGAGAGAATGGGTCTGCAGAGAGAATTTCGCCGCGATCCCAACTGTCTGTTATCAGCCTGCAGCCAGGAAGGAGAAATCAGCAGAGCTGCCTGCACTGAGTGTGTGTGAGGAAGTCCGTGGATTGGTCAATTTGGACCAATCAGCGGGGGCTTAACATAACGGCTCCGCGGACATAACGTAACGGCTCCACGGATTGGTCCATTTGGTTCCGGGTACCGCATGACCGTATCGCGTCATAGCTCTGGGCGTGGCTACTGGCCATCCCTACGTCACGATACCCAGGAAGTAAACAAAGGAAAATGAGAAATCTCCAACGAGGCGTTTTGGGGCGGTATTTTCTGTGTTAGAGTTTTACTCGCTACAGGGTGTACTTTGAGGGTTTTTGACTCTGCAGACCGTTTACATGCAGAAAAACCTTCATAACACACAAGGGGACGGGTAATAACCGGAAAAGCATGACATGGGACCTTTAAGACCGCGGAGTCTACACATGTGCAGCCTCGAAATTTCTCGCTACGAAGTACGCCGGCCTTGGTAGAATTCCAAGTATGCTGGACATTGGAACAGTCCTTCGGCGGCACTCGATGACGTAGTATGCTTGAAATAGTGGCTCTGGAGCAGCCTTCCTCGACATTGAGAAACACCCTCTAATGGCGCATTTCCACCATGGCACGGAGCGCGGTTTAAGCGTGCCGTGTCGTGTCGGGCCCGTTTTTGGTTGCGCTTCCACTATGCCTAGTTCCGGCCCGGGGGTACTTTTTCACCTCTTTTCTGGCCCGACAAAATCGTGGTTCTATCGGGGCCAACACACAGGGCTGAGTCGGGCTGAGTTTGCTAAACTAGAGAGATAATCGCTGGCAAGGGGGCTACAACTACAACAAGATGAACATATTTGACCGTGATTTAATTGTAATACACGTTTCAAAATGATGCCGAAGTAACAACATACTGATACCGGTTAGTAAAAACCATGAATTAATGCTTTGACAAGTCTGCAGACAGACGGCAGGTGAAAAACCTTTTAAAATGCGTGTTTTCTAAATGGAGATTGGCTAAACTAACGCAATATATGCTCCGACCGTCCACAGTCACAACAACGGCCTATACAGACATAAATAAACCAGCGACTGTATTCGCCATGACACAGGCAGTCTGTGGTGTGTACTTGTTTAACTTTTGTCTAGTTTCTGAACATATATGAGCTCTGAGTGCTAACAGCTAACGGCTGATGTTGTTTTTCTGGGGTTCTCATTGAAGATGACGTCACGGCTCTGCCTACACTGCGTTACTATAGATACTACCCTAGATCCTAAACTGTAATGGAAATGCGCCATAAAGTGAGCCAGTCCTAACGAGGCCTAGCCATACCGAGCGAGGCCGTGTAGTGGAAATGCGCCATAACAGGGCTGCAAAAGAGGGGTATGAGCAGTATGAGGCATGGCTACAATGGGATCTGTTTGGTATTTTAAGCAAAAAACTTCACAGACATGTTTTGTATAGGTATGGCCCTACAATATATTTTTCCAATATAGCATAATAGGTCCACTTTAAGACTATTAACCTTTTAAATACTAAAATAAATCAAATACAGAAAAACTGTCAAATATGTGAATTTTTTTACTTTTTTCTTACAATTAGATTTTCTATATTTGTATTTTATTTAATTGTTAAGTTGTACATGTTTTCAAACAATCCAAAAATGTCCAATTATATCTGGAAAAGCAAAACAGATACAGTTATTATTAAAACATTTTTTTTTCACTTTTCAGAAATGGGTTGTTCCACAGAGAAGTCCACCTGATGAAAATAAACCGAGTGTTCGTCCTCCTGAAAAAGAAGCCGAGAGAAGTCTGGTAACTGTTTCTCCAAATTATAACTTTAATTTAATAATGTTAAGGTATGATTTCTTAAAATATGTTAACTTTATTTTGAAAGAACAATACATATACAGTAGAGGAAATAAGTATTTGATCCCCTGCAAGTTTGCCCACTTACAAATAAATTAACAGTCTATAATTTTAATGGTAGGTTAATTTTAACAGTGAGAGTAAGAAAATCAAAAAGACAATCCAGAAATTGACATTATATAAAAGATAAACATTGATTTGCATTAAACTGTGGAAAATAGCCTGTTCATTTATTTGTAAGTGGGTAAACTTACAAAATCTGCAGGGGATCAAATGCTTATTTCCTCCACTTAAACATATATGCAAAAAAGAAAATATATATCAGTACATAAACATAACAGCACATTTAATTTCATTTGAGATAAAACTGTATCTCATATATCCTCAAATAAAGGATGTTATAGATAAAATAAAATGTTTCAGTAAATACATGTATTTGAATTTATCCAGTGCATCCATTTCTTTATGTTCCCATTATTTTTGTTTTACACTAAGAAGCGTTTTGTCTTTTATATAATACAAAGTCACCTTGATAGTAGTTTTCTTTGTTTGATGTAAATGTTTTGTGTGCAGGCGGTTCCTTTCAGAGGTCACATCACAGGAGGGATGTCTCCGGGGAAGAAGGTTGTCATGGTCGGGGTCGTAGACTCTCGTCCTGACAGGTACAAATTATTTAATCTAATCTTGCATTTATCAATCCATCTCCTTCCTTCAGTATCAATGCTAACAGTGTGGATATTCAGAGAATGGATCTGAATGATTTTGATGGACTCCTGAGGTGCATCTCACTTCGGTTAAATGGATTCCTTGCGTCACTCACTTGCGTCGTTTCCCTGCGACTAGTCCAGACCTGGGCATCGTACGGCCCCCGGGCCACATACGGCCCTTTGGTTGACTCTGACCGGCCCGTGTAAGGCTAATTGGAAATTACAAAATAAACATATTTTCTAACTTTACCTCATGCATGGACTAAAGCTGCATTGCTTTTATTTTGAAGTTGTTTTTTATTCACGTGCATAATGACGCAATACGTATATCAAGACGTGCACATCAGTGGCGTAGCTGTGGGTGGGCCCGGGTGGGCCTGGGCCCACCCACATGCACGTCTGGCTCACCCACAGCCAATCAGCGCGTTATAGCGCAGAGCCGGGAAGCCCAGAAGGAAGTGCCACAAACTGCAGTTCCTCTAGTGGCCAACAGGGGATGGATAAAGGAGCAATTCCCATAGACCCCCATGTTAAAATGCCCAACTTTACAGCAGAAATAAACATGTTTCTAGCTGGATCCAATCAAACTTATTCTGGATATAGTTAGATTCCACCTTCATGACAATGGAATAGGGAGTGCATTTTTTTACCGTGAGTAAATTAGTAAGTAAAGTAGGTTTTGCCGTGAGTAAACGAAAGTCTTATTTCTTCTTGAGGTCTGCAGTGAAGCGTGTACACATTTGCTGAATATGAAAACTCTCAGTGTGTGCCCACTGTGCGACTGTCAAGGATAAACAACCTGTGGCCGCCGAGCCCGTCATGTGTAGGGATGGGTACCGAGCCCCAGGGCTGAATTATTAAAGACCGTGGTACCATTAAGCTCCGACGTTATCGGTCGGTACTTGAGACATGTAAAAAATATATCTAATATGTATTATTGCTACACAAACATTATATTGCAGTTTTAGTGTCGCCAACTCTGTTTCTAATATGCAAAAAGACAGCAAAATGCGTCTATGATTATTTTTAGTATTTTCGATCTTTCCAATCCAGACGAGAGATCTCTCTCCCCCGTCTGTGTGCGAGGGGGCGGGGCAGTTTACACACACGCAGCTGCTACTGTACATGCAGCAACACACACACGCGGAGGAGATGGCGGAGAGAACGCGCTCCGAGGTGTGGTTAAACTTTACCTGTTCGATGTGGACAATGCTCGTTACCAAAAGTGCAATAAGAGTTTAGCATGTAAGGGCGGTAACACGAGCAATTTGTCTAAACATCTTGTAAAAGTGCACCACATTCAAACGGAGAAATGCACCGGGTTCGACTGTCTTTCTAGTAGCTCTGTAGCCCCATCCACGAGTAACTTTTCCACGTCAGGTGTTATGTATGCTAGCAGCAACACACAGAGTTAACTCAATTATACAAACATGGGCTAATGATTAGAGGTAATTTAGAGTTATTTATTTTGTTAAAGTTTCAGCTATTCTGTTTACAGTTCTGTCATCAGATTATTTAATACAATTTGTTAAAACATTGTTGTTTCTTTTGATGTGAAATATGTATTTAATTAAAATAAAAAGCAATGATAGTTTTGTTCACAATTTGTGTTAGTTAGTTTACCTTATTTTTTTCTCAAAAAAAAACGATAAAAGTACCGTTAAAGCACCGGATCAATAAGCGGTATCGATAAAAGTAGTAGTAGGCCTACCGTTAAAACCTTAACGATACCCATCCCTAGTCATGTGGATGTCAGTTGTACACACATTCTGAGGCCGCCGTGCCTATGTTTTTGTTTTCACTGCTAGTTTATGCTTATGTTCAATTAGTGCATTAAAAAATCATTAAAATCATTAATGAAGTTTCAGCTCAGACCCCACGCTTAATAAGTCTCCCCCTGGCCCACCTACATTTCTCCAGGCCCACCCTCACAATAATTCCTGGCTACGCCACTGGTGCACATTATTGGATCCTTGTCACAAGACGACTTTAGCCCTCAAAAAAATGTCCGCTAAAAAAAGAAAGGTAGATGCTGAATGCAGGGTTTTCAACAAAAATTGGACTGCTAAGTATTTATTTACTGAAGTCGGAGGTAAAACCGTGTGTTTAGTTTGCGGGGAGCAGATCGCCGTGTTTAAGGAGTACAATGTGAGTCGACATTACGAGACGAAACACGCGGAGAAATATAAAAACTTGACTGACGCTGAAAGGGCGCGGACATCGGAAGCTTTGCTAGCTAAGCTGCAAAAGCAGCAAGGCTTTTTTACCAAGCTTCACACATCCAGTGATGCAGCAACCATGACCAGCTTTGTGATATCCCACAAAATTGCTAAAAACAGTAAGCCGTTCTCGGAGGGGGAGTTTGTCAAAGAGTGCTTGGTGGACTCTGCAGCACTAATATGCCCTGAAAAAAAAGCCGCATTTGAGCAAGTCCCGCTGTCCAGGCGAACCGTGACTAGAAGGATCGAGGACATTGCGGGGAATCTGGAGCTTCAGCTGCAACGTGAAGTGGCAAGTTACGACTTTTTCTCCTTGGCTTTGGACGAGAGCTGTGATGTCCGCGACACAGCCCAGTTACTTGTATTCGTCCGCGGGATAACACCGGACTTCAAGATTACGGAGGAGCTGGCAGCAATGCGGTCGATGAAAGGGACGACGACAGGGAGCGATCTGTTCACGGAGGTAAACGAGTGCATGGACACGCATACATATGTGAACAAACATTTTCAATTATGAAGTTTACGAAATCCAGGTATAGATCCTCTCTCACTGATGATCATCTGTCAGCTGTGCTTCGCATCTCCACCTCAGACATTCAACCTGACTTTGATGCACTCGTTAAAGCCCAGCAGAGACTAGATTTCTCTCACTGAACAAGAAAAGAGAACTTAAAAACACCAAATGAGGTGGTTAGACTACAAATGTTGGCATGTAAAGGCACCAACTAGCAGTGAACTGGGACACTTTCTTTGGAAGCCTTTTTCTCAAAATCACAGTTCAGTGATGTTTAGTGACAGTTCAATATGATGTATCTTGCTTAATATTTGGAGTACAAAGACAATATTGTGATGTCTTTAGAATGCTAAGAACCTCTTTCCAACAGTAAATGAAACTCAAAATGTGTTTGAGTGAATGTGACTGAAAATGTTCACTAATATGAGTCACAAATGGTGAAAAACGTTCATTTTGTTTACCATTGTTTTGGGAAATTTGATTTAATAAATGACATTTTTTTGTAAGGCAACCTCACTTTTTCCATTGCTTAACTATAACATATACTCTTACCAGCTTGTCAAAACAATGCTATTTACTGCTTTTTATAAAGAAATACAATTAATATTATGCAGAATTGAGTTCAGCCTTTTGGCCCGGCCCTCCACAATATTTTCAGTTTCTCATGTGGCCCCATGGAAAAAATAATTGCCCACCCCTGCTATAGGGTGTACTTTGAGGGTTTTGACTCTGCACACCGTTTACATCCATAAAAACCTTCATAACACACAAGGGGACGGGTAATAACCGGAAAAGCATGACACCTCTCCTTTAAGAGCAATGGGACGTCGTTTCCTCCGGAGCGTCACGTGAAGCGACGTCCGTTTGTGATGACGCCGCACAGCTGATCGTCTGACAGCAGCCAGATCAGTGCATGCGCTGCATCGTCCAATCAGTGAGCGATACACAGTAAGGGGGCGGGGCGAGTGTCTGAGGATTTCACCGGAGAATGGTCTGGTAGTTCCTCGATTATCGCTCCTCCGTTATCACTCCTCGATCCTCGCTCCTCGGTCCTCCGGCAAAAATAAGGCCACTGGGACGCTACTCAAGATGGCGCAGACAAATCAACTTCCGGTGATACCGAGACCGAGGAGCGAGGAAATGAAAAATAACCGAAGTGGACTTACTTCTAGTTCCACCGTCAGGCTGAAATTCACACTAAAAATCACCAAACTTTGCTACATGAGGAACATTTACATTTAACCTCCTGAAGAAATCCTTATTTCCGCTGTTTATTAAGAATAACATCTGTAATTCTTCTCATAAATCATAGGGGGAAAGAAGGGCGGCATGAATCATCAGAATCATCAAATGTTTAGGTTTTCTTCAAGCAATCCAGTGGGTTCACTGAAACAGGGAAAACAAAAAGATGAATCAGCAAACATTTAAACACCAGAGCCTACATGTAGCTGACATTTTCCTAAAGGACATATCATTAACTTTTTACGGGTCTTGCTCTCCTTATGACTTTATTTGATTTTTTCTGTTCTCAAATACAATATTGTGCTGCTGGGTTACCCAAAGTAGATGGCAGATATTTCTAGTGAAAAAGATAAAAATAACAAAATACAAATAAATAATAATTATAGTAACAATAGCTGTTTTAAAAAAAATAAAAAAATGTTTTCGTTTAAGCTATCTTAGATCCTCCCTTCTGTTTTTGTTTAGGCCTTCCTAGAATCCTTTATGAAGTCAGATCCGTGTCAGATTTATGGCTCGTATTTGTCCCTCTGTTAGGTTTTACTTCGCCCTGACGTGTGGTCGGGGAACAGGGGGCGAGCCTCCTGTGGACGTGGCTCTGGAGCTCTGTGTGAGGTTCAAGGACCGACAGATCCTGCGGCAAGCCTGTGAGTCCGGATCCTGGGGAGAAACCGAGAGAGCCGTGCCTTTCTTCCCCTTCATCAGAGGACTGCCCTTCAAGGTACCACACAAAACTCTCATATAGTCTTCATGTGGCAGCTGCTAACTTTTTTTAATGCAAGGAAAATGACAGATTGCAGGAACAGATTCAAAGTCAGACTGAAGCATCCTTTGTGCTCCAGTCAATCCTCTCAGTAAACACAGAGCTGAATCCAGATCAAATGCACGCTGAAGGCTCTTTGAGCAGCTTTGCTCTCAGTGATTGTTATGTTCAATGTGTGTTGCCTATGTCAGTGCCTAAAGAGATTGGATACTGATTACCATTGTGCATTACGTGGGCTGGTTCCCTCTTACATTTGCACATATATGTGTAAAAGAGAAAGTATATATGGCCTGCACTCCCAAGATTGTATTCAGATGCTGGTTCCTAAAGTAAGAACAGAACTGTAAAACAGCTTTTAAATATGCTCTCTGCTTGGAATAAAGTACAGAAGGAGCTGAAACTCTTAGATGTTATCACCTTGGGGGAGTTCAAGTCCATCTGAGGCCCCGGCCACACGAGGACGATAACGGTCGTATCTGCTACAGTTCACTATCAGATAGACGGTTCGGCCACACGAGGCCGACATGGAAACGCAGAAAACGATAATGATAACGGGTCCCAAGGTGGGTAGATCTGAGAACGAAACGCTCTGGGGGGCAAACGGCTCCGTGTTTACGCCTATACGATCATGTCCTGATAACGATGAAGCAATAGCCCCGCCTCTCCCCACCTCTCCTACTCAGAGATCAGCTGCTGGGCTGTCAGAAGAGGGGGAGGAAAAGAGAGGCTCCGTTTTATATTATTATATAGAGTCGTTATCAATTTGTTTTAAAGCTCAATAAATAACAAAGAAGACCTTTGACCGGCACTTTTCTAATTTTGTCCGGAAGATTTAAACTTTAACGGACATATCGTCCTCGTGTGGCTCCAGCCTAAGGACAGAGAACAAGAAACCATTGGTCGATGTGATTGCTCGTATATCCCTTGATTGAATTCGTTTTACATTTTGCCAGTTTTTAATGATTTTTAATAGTTTCTTTTATTTTGCATATTCATTTCATTTCATTTCAATCTTTATTTCGAACAGATTAAAAAAATAACAAATAAAAAAATAACAAATGTGAAAAACAGAATACTGTATTGTTAAAATACAGTATGTATCCACATTCATGATAATATTTATATATTCAACAAATCAAAAAGTCTTCATATTAATAATAATAATAAATCATATGTGTCCGAAAGGGAGTAGGAGGAAGCAAATGCTTATTAATTCCCACCCCTTACTTGATCAATGATTGTCCTTTAAATCATTATGCAAGTTATTCCTACTTACATTTACATTTATACATACATATACAATCATTTCTCATCTTCAATCACCTCTCTTCATTCTCATAGTTTTCCAAAAAAGTGTTTCTGTACATCCTTTTAAACTGAATTATGCTTTTAACTCCTGCTCCAAACCATTCCATAAAATCACCCCACAGATTGTTATACTCACACTTCTCAGAGTTGTTCTGACCTTGAGTTGATTGCTTAATGTGCCGTTTCATTTGTGTTTTAAAGCTGTATTCCTCTGCCTGTATTGTCTGTGTTTTATCTGTTGTAACTTTGTTCATGCTGCCCTCTTGGCCAGGTCGCTCTTGGAAAAGAGATTTTAATCTCAATGAGACTTTGCCTGGTTAAATAAAGGATATATATTGTTGTTTGTTTTTCATGTATTGTGTCTTGATATTTGTCTATGTTGATGTTACACATGGAGCTGCTGTGATGCAAGTCACATTTCAGACTTGATCTGAACATAAAAGTATTATCGTATCGTATCGTAGATTCATTTAGAACTGCCAAAAACACACGAAAACAATAGACACCAAAATTAACCAAACTTCCACTTTCTGTCTCCTCCCAGATTGAGATTCACTGTGAACACAGTCGCTTTCGTGTGTTTGTGGACGGACAGAAGCTGTTTGACTTTCAGCACAGGTTGACGTCACTCAGAGACATTGACACGTTGTGGATCAAAGGTAGCGTCGCTATCACTAAACTGGCCTGAAGGAAAACACTGCACTGCTGAACATTTGAGAAGATTTCAAACAGACTCTGTTGAGCTCAAACTGCCATGACTCCCCTCATCTGAACATGTTCTGTATTCACTGTGGACCTTTTTGTACAAAATGTTGAATATGGGGAGACAAAAGTGTTAAAAAAAAGTGTTTTATGATCACACATTAACAGACTGACTGATCAAGGAAGTGTAAGATCAGCAACTTCCATGTTTTGAGATGTACAATTACAGTTTTCTCCTCCTCTGAACACACTCTGCATTCACTCCTGACTTTTTTTGTACAAAATATTTAATATACAGAAAACAGTTGCCTCAATTTTGGTGACAAATATGTTTTTGATCTACTGAAACAGTTTGAAAACTGGCATGTGTGACTGTGTGAAAACAAACACCCAGACAAAAAAATGTGTTTCCAGAGCGTCTATAAAATCCTCTTTTGCTTTTGTCATTGTGTCAGTTAGTTGTTTTACGGGTAAGTTCATATTCAACAAAGTCACACAATAACACACATTTAATAACGGATTGAGGAAGCGGTAGACCGGCCACTTCCATTTTCCGCAAAGCAAAACTACTGTGTTTGTGAAAAGAGTTTGGTGGCTTTAAAGAGAGTAGATATAGGCTTCAGTTCCCCCTGACATATTTTTAATACAGTTTACACTTCAACTGATTTTGTTTATTTTAGGGGGATAAAATAAAATGTGTTTTGCTGCTGCTCCTGTCCACAGCAGTGCAATGTTGTAAATTAAGCTCCTTCTATAACAGCCACAACTACTGCAACTGTAAATATCATAAAATACAATATGTGTAGCATGAAAATAAACAGAAAATAATGGGGTTAACTAAAGGCCATTGAGGCTTTGGGTAGGACTGTTTTCATATTTTTCTGAGTAAACAAACCATGAAGAAGTGAGGCCTCTATGATCTGATGACTACCTCCAACCACACAGTTGGATCTCCTGCTGCCATCCATATTTAAATATATGAATATCTGTATGAGATATACTGTGTGTGTTTCACATCCATTAAAAACCACTGTTCTTTTTTTTTTGTAAGAATATCAATACAAAGTTGAGTACAACATTTAATCGAATACAAAGAAATTACAACTTTAAATATTGATTGTGAATCATTAAAAAACAGGATAAATGTATACAAACGTTAGGATTTTATTGTATATTAAACCATTTGTTTCAGATGCTTTAATAATGTTTTGGACAATGTCTTTATTGAAATTTTAATTGCAATTAAGCAGATATTTTTGTAGTTTTCTCAGGTGTTTTTGGGAATATTTTCAGATATTTGACTAAAATATTCTGAATATAAAAAAATAAAATTGGTTTTAAAACATCTGCTCAACTTTTAACCAATCAACAAGACAATCTTGTTGGTGCCTAGCTCCATATTTCATGGAGCTTAAATGTTAACGACCAGTGATTCAGTGCAATATTAGTCCACGTTGTTTGACCAAAGTGTTTTTCTGTGAAATCTGTGATTTTCTGTCTGAACTGAAGTACCTGTTAAACATGGAAAGTTTTGGAGGAGCCAGCAGAAAGAACCTGTCACCGCGGTGCATGCTGGGTGATATTGAGGCAGGGTAGCAGCAGCACCGGCTGACTCAACCTTCAGTTTCTGCTTCACTTTCAGCCGTCCTGCACTCCTCAGGTGGCCCAAATCTGACACCTTATGGACGGCACCGGCTTTACCTGAGTCATGGACATCAGCGGAGGACATCTCACGGTGAGCTCACCTGTTTCTCTCTAAAGACACCTGCTGTCAAACCCAGCCGGATGAGGAGGCTGAAGCTAAAGCTAAAGCTCAGGGAAGATGCTTGTTGTTGTCGCTAGCTGCGTAGTTATCCGAGGTGTTGGACTTCTCATCTACTCCTATGTCATGGTGTTGATTTTATATAGTCTTTATATGTGTGTGATCACCCTGTTAATCCATATAAACGTCACGGCAAAGGGGCGACAAACTAATGACACGTTAACATCGCTATCGTTCATTAGCATGCTAAGCTAGCAACCGTTACACCCCATCTCTGCCGTTTACTGGCAACATCGCTCATACATTAGCATGCTAAGCTAGGTTAGCACCCGTTACACCCCATCTCTGCGAACTGTCTCGGCCTTGTAGTTTAATTAGATGCCTCCTAGTTAAAGCTAACATAGCTGTTAGCTTCATGTTAGGTTAATCCTAGGTTAGTCGTTTTTAAATCTACATAACTCGTCTGAGCTGTCAGGTTTATACTGAGCAAACGTTAGCATTATCCTTTTAGCCTGCTAAGCTAGATGCCAACCGATTTAGCTTAGTTAGCCTTCTTCACCTAGTTTCAATTATAACCTAAGACAAGTAGGGGAAAATGTGTGAAACTAGAGAAATTGCCTAAAGTGGTTGATTTTGAGTTTGTGGATTCTGAAATAAACAATTGTCAAAAGATGCAAACCTTGTCATGACGGCGACAGATCGTCTCAATAGATAACATATTGTGTTTGCTAAATATTAACTTTAGTTTAAAGGGCTGGTCTAAAACAGCTGCTTTAACCAAACAGCAGTGGTGGAACAAGTGCTCCGACATTTCACTCAAGTAAAAGTAGCAATACCACTGTGTAGAAATACTTTATTCCTGCATTTAAAATGAACATTTTTCGCATGAAAATACTCTCAAAACCCAGCATGCAATTGGCCTATTAGAGTATTATGTTTTTTACTCTATTATAATCATGTGAATTCATTTATGGAGTGCTATGTCAACCTGTCTTAACCTTTAATATGACATCACAATGTATTAGTTGATTAAGATGTTTAATCTGAATCTGCAAAGTTACTTGTAAGAGTGCATTCAATTGTAGATTTGTGTCTCAGATGTCGTCGAGTGGAGGATACAGTTTCAGAAAAAGGAGTTACGCCAGTAAAAGTACTTTTAAAGTTGTATTTAACTCACTATACTTAGTTTCTTTCCACCACTGCTAAAATTATCTCTTAAATTGTGGCTTATTTTGGACACAGTGACTCAACCCAGTCTTCTGAGAGGTTCAGAGAGTACAGCACAGCAGAAGGACAAATTACATGCTTAAATTGTGATGGAGGCACATCAGTTTCCTTGGTAACAAAGGAGCTACGGGCAACATATTTATGTGTTTTCTTTCCCCGAAAGCCTTTGTAGCTAACTTGTCTTTCTGGACCTGCATATCTGTAGTCCTAGTCAGCGCTGCCGGGGCTAGGTGTAGACGTACCTGCCGCCAGGTATTCAATGAGATAAGGCCAACAAAGCAAACACACATTTCAGACGCCGCCCACTTCTCCGGCTCTGTATGGGAATGCAAACAGAGTTTCCTCCTTCATTTAGGGGTCAAAGTAGGAAGAAACTCTGGTCTGCGTCTCTCATGAAATCATAACTTTTATATCAGATGCTTTTGGGTCACACAGGATTGTAATTTCCTATGTTTATGAAAGAAATGTGTACTTTGAAAAAAGTACCGGCACCTTTTGTTTTTTTCAAATGAATCATTTTGACTATTTCAAATGATTATTTTTAACATTTCCCGTTACAAATGGTTAGAAAAAATATATTATTAAACTGACATTTAGAAAAGCAGCAACAATTCATATTTTAGAAACTGGGATGTTTTGTGTTTGTGCTTGACAAACACACTGTGATCATATACATGATTAACTGATCATAAAGATAGTTACTGATCCATTTTTATGGCATCATAAATAATTAAATGTCCAAAACACTACCATGTTTTTGAAGACATGTCATTATTTCAGAACTACTCTTATTTTGCATTTACAACAAATAGTTCCTGTGGGTAAATGTTCTTCAGCTTGTTTTTATTAGATTTATGGAAAATATGGACAATTTTCAATAGACAACATTATTTTTTATTGTAAACAGTGGATTGTTTTTATTCTAATCTAATGCACACTAACTAACTTCAAACACACATAAAGAAAACACTTTTGGAGCACATCCAGGAACTTTACAGACCCAAAAAGTTTCCAAGGACATATTCAAAAGAAAGGAAGTGATGATAACATCATGTGTTATAACTTGATATTTTGTTGGCAGTCAAAAACATGCAACTAGAGAGGGTTAATGAAAGATATAAAACCAGTCAAGTCAAGATTAATTTGTAAGTGTTGACAAGGCAGAGAAGACATCAAATGAATATAGATACAACTTGTATGAATACATTATAGTTTATAGTCTCTAACTCACTGTTTGTTTACAGCACTTCTCAGTTTACACATCACAGGTCTCTCATTACCACTTCATTACTGTCAATTTGACGCCATTCTGTCCCCTTTAAGTGGTTCAGTAATTCAATTTCTGCTTCGTCTCAAACCACACATCACGATAATCGGCCCTGGAGCTCCAGAAGAGCCGCCCGTGTTCACTCCCTGTGTTGATGGGGTTTATTCTCCTCTGTGATGCACTATTTGTTTCTGATGATGCCTTTTCTGTGTTGGATATGGCGTGTGTGTTACATGTTGTGATCATGGATGTTGCCCCTCGTCTCTGTTGTGTGATTGTGATGTGCTATATGTGACATGTATGTAGTAACGTGTGTTGTTTGCATTTTATTGTTCTCTTTTATCCTTTCGCCTCCATCTACTTGTCTTTCATCCTTTCTTTATACCTAATGCTGTTGATGTATTGTGATTTTAAAAAGGTGTCTGTTATCATCTGGACAACAGCTGGAAATGAGCAATGTTTGCTAAAGCTGCCCCATTTACTGTTTGTTGTGACAGTTGATCAATGGGGACTGTCCACGACACTATAAACAAACTAAACTAAACGTTTCTCTTGCAGGTGTAGCCAGGAGGATTCGTTGACTGCCAGAGAATCATGGAGCCCGATGTGATCCGCTTGTACAGCTCCTCCCCGCCCCCGATGGAGGACGGCGCCGAGGAGGAGGACGAGTTTGGAGACTTCGACACCTTCTCCAACGTCCCTCACAGCATCAGCTTCACAGAATTCGAAACCCCGGCCACTTTTAACCAGAATGAAGCTTTTAGCGCCACTTCCCCTCCTGAGCTCCTGAACAGCAGGGGGGTGACGGCGTTCAGCCACAGCTCCTCTAACGGCACCCTCAACAACAACGAGCTGTCCAAGGCTAATGGCGTTGTGCCGGGGAGCCACCTGGGCCCCTCAGAAAGAACTGAGATTAAAAAGGTCCTCTCGGGCTCTGTGGATTTCTCCGTGAGCGACACAGCTGGCAGCGAGCCGGCTGGTTGTAACGGCGGAGGCTCTGAAGTGCTAACAAACGGGTTTGCAACCTTCGATGTGCAGGGAAGCCCCTCCTCGCAGGATTCTGTACACTCTTGTAAAAAAGCAACGTCAACTGAGGACACGGGCAGCATCCCAGCCGAGGATGATTTTGCAGACTTTGCCGCTTTTTCCAATGCAGAAGGACACCTCAGCCAGACGGCAAACGAGGACTCGGACAATCCCCCGGGAGGCAGCTTGTTGGCGGAGGCTGCCTGCCACGAGGAGCACTGTAATATAGAGCAGGAAAACACATCAGAGGACAATGACAGGGACACAAACAGAACTGGACCAGACACATGTGACTCTGACTCTGGTCCCGCTGAGGCCCCGGACGGCTCGTGCAACACGGACCGGGGCCCCCACTCTGACTCTGACTCTGAACAAAGAGAAGTAGCTTTTGCACAGGAGGCCTCGGAGGCAGTTTGCACTAACAGACCCCTCACCCTGAACGGGGTGGATGTAGCCGACGGGGACGACTCCAGAGACGGAGGCAGTGACGACGACCTCTCGCCGGACGCTGAGGAGGGACAGTCTGACGGGAAGGGCTCCGGGAACGAGACGGAGACAGAAACGGAGACATCGTTGGGTCGGCCGCTCTCCACAGAAGCTCTGGAGGAGTTTGGGGACATTAGCACCACCGGCTCGGTGCCCTCTCCGCCCCTCCAAGGGGAGACCGCCGCCGCCACGCCCGCCGACTACAGTCAGCTGGCGGAGGACGACGAGGACTTCGGGGATTTTGGAGACGCCGGCTCATTCAGCGGTCAGGGCTTTGCAGACTTTGAACAGCTGGACGTGCAGCAGGAGCCGAGCCGGACGGAGAGTCCTGCTCCTGCTCAGGAAGCTACAAACACAGAGGAGGTGGAGGAGGTGGAGGAGGTGGTGGAGGTGGTGGAGGAGGTGGAGGAGGTGGAGGAAGTGGAGGAGGATGAGGAGGAGGAGGTGGTGGAGGAGGTGGAGGAGGTGGAGGACGACTTTGGAGACTTTAACTCACCCAAATTTCACGCCGGTGGAACCGTGGGGGAAGAGGATGGAGACAAGTTTGCAGACTTCCCCGTCAGCGACAGTTTTGGTAACTTCAGCTCGGCTGCAGAAGCCGCAGACGGGGAGGCGGACGCAGGGTGGAGCGCCTTCGGGGATCAGCAGCAGCAGCAGGCGGAGGAGGAGGAGTCCTGGGCGGCGTTCAGCGAGGAGCCGAGCATCGCACCTCCTGCAGAGAGCAGAACGGAGGAGGAGGAGAGGGAAGAGGAGGAGTGGCATGAAAGTGAAGTTCCTGCAGTCAGCGAGGAAACCAGCAGGACAGACAGACAGGCGGTAAGCACAGCAGGAAGTCAACATGCTGCAGTTATTCATCCATTAGCCCATATCAGGATTTCATTTATGTCGAGCTGCAAAGCAAGAGAACAATGGCCGTTTCTGAGAATTGGCATTAATAAGTTGCAAAAGTAGCAGGCCAGACTTCAGCAGTTTCACTTTATTTTCTGTTTCTAATAATACTATACATCTACAAACCCTTTTTTGCTGTGTTCATTGAAAGCCACATCCTTCCCGAAGCGTCCCCATAAAGTTGGATACTCCACAGACATTACTTGATCACAATGAGGCATCAACAAAATGTAAAACAAAATTGCTTTCACATTCAATGTATTGAGTGTAGAGGTAGACATCTTTGAGACGGACATCTAAAACCAGATATACATTAATTTTGACAAGAAATACCTCTTTGATATGAATACAAATGTTTACTTTCACTGACAGATTAAATTCCAAACATACTTTTAAATCCATATTTGACGATAATATCTAACTAAAAGCTCTGCTGCACACAAACTAAAAAGAGGAAGTCGTCCTAAAGGATCACATTTCATCAGTGTATTGTTTGTCAATATCCAGCTGAGTCAGCAGCACGCTTACACCATCTCCCACTGCTTGTGTTAAACATGAACCGAGCCGTTAGTGACAGAGGTCAGCTCCTGATCTACTGAAGGAGAAAGAGAATAAAGTTTGCTCACAGGGAAAAACAAATCCTATGCTTTCAGAGGTGGTGTGTGTGGACAGTGCAGTTCTATAGGTACATATGTAGAGTGACACACACACTGTTAATACAGAGTGTAGAAATGTGACCTGCTCAGGTATTTGAGGTGAACTACATTATCACACACACTCGTAGTGAACCCTGACGTCTGCAGCTTGCATCAGTGACGCTGGATCTCCTTTCTGATCATTCAGTGTTAGCAGACAGCCAGAATACCCAGTGTGACAGCCTGCAGGGAACACAAGTGTTCAAGTATCATTCTGCTTTCAGTGTGAGGGGAAGGAATGTACCATATTCCAATTTAAAAAAAGTGCAATATGCAGATGCTTTTCAGGTGTACAGAGGCTTTGAGCATGAATATTTGTCACATTTCGTTTATTGGGTTTTTTCAACAGCATACAGTTATTCTATCAGAGCATGCATCAAAAGTAGGTAAACAAATCTTCACTTTATAGAAAAATAGGTAGAGTAACAATGTTAATACTGCTTAACACCAGGGCAAACTAAATCCCACACAGACAGAAGACAAACAGACAAACAAAAGATAAACAAATAGAAAACCAGTCAGCTAACACAAAAATGTCAATAATAAACAATAAATGTCAGTACGGCAGCACCTCGTCCCCGCAACAACCCATCCAGTGTTGGGACCCCTCCGAAATGCAAAAGTTTAATCAGGAATGATTGGGAACTGTATCCTCTTAACAAATTAGAAACATGTATTTGAGGAGCCACTCACTAGTTGTTTTAGCGCACTTTGCGACACGCTGCCCCTTATCTGTTTACATTCAGCTCTGTCAATCTACTCAATTTAAATAGAGATGCCTGCCTCCAATAGGAAAGCCCACATATCTGGAACACGCCCCCTTCTGCTGAAGACTTAAACTGCTTTTTGGATATGCACGGAAAAAAGAAACCCCTTGTCTTGTGATGTTTGTCAATATGAGCACGGCTGCATGTTAATAGGATATTAGTTTATTTTGATCAGACATGCAAACAGCTTAGTTAGAGTATTGATTTGAATAAAGTAGTAATAGTTTGTGCGTGTGAACAGTCCCTTTCTTCAGTGACCGCCATCTTCTCAGCTGGGTGTGGTGAGGAGCACACCCAGCTGCAAACTGTCATCACAAACTGTCAGGGAGAACCAGATTATTGGACAGGGTGCAGCCTACATTTTAGTATTTAATATGTTTCTGTGGGGATGGGAAAAACAATTTGTTCAATAGTCCTAAAGCACTAAGCATTTGAAAGGTGACTGTCCATCTTCATTAACTTAAGATTTTTAAGATAATTCATCAAGGGTTTAAGTTCAGTAACTATTAAAAACTGGTGTGATATGATGGTAGAAATCCTCCAACACCCCTGTGCTGCTTTACTGTACGGGTGGAGACACATTCTGTGAGAGAGAACAGATTTGATCATTCCTTTTTTTATTTAAGTGTGGCAAACTTGTCAAAGACTCTCTGGTTAATGTATTAACATTTAAAAACTATCTTTGAAATGGCTGTGAGCCAGAGCCTTCATGGAAATCAGTTTTATGCAACCTATCATGCGTCACACCGTCTGTATCATGAAGCTCTTCCACTTGTTTTCACTCAGCGCTGCCTCACACTAACACAAGGTGAGAAGTACTGGAGGTACAGAAATGTGATCAATCGGCAGAAGTCAACGCATCCACACATATATTTGTTGTTGCCAGATGTTGCAGGTAAGGGTCGTGACAAAACATGCAACTTCTTTGCTTTTAGTTTCTCTTGCTAGGATCCATGGAGCAGTTTTAAATGATCAGCTCTCTTTGCTTCTGATGCTTCTGATATTAGCAGATATCAGCTTTTTAGTCACGACCCAGGGGGACCTTTTACAGAAGCTTTTTTGAGTAAAGCTGCAGGTGTTCAACTCCTTAATGGTTTCCTGAAGTCCTCAGATAGCAGATAAATGTGAAAGTGCTGAGTAGGATGTCTGTAACCGGCTGCCGTCTCTCTGCAGCTGTGCGTCCGGCTGGAGAAGCTGTTTCAGGGCAGCTTCCCTCAGACGGCCGCCCCCCCGGTGGAGGACCAGGTGACGTCTCTGAAGAACCTTCTGGAACCGGAGGAGAACCATCAGCCAGGAGGCGAGGAGAAGGAGAAGAGATCGCCCTGCAGCAGGTGAGCCTCCTCAGAGGGACCTCAGACATACACTGGAACAGGAAGTGCTCTAGAGCTTGGAGAATAGTCACTTTTATTCACTTTTTAAAAAGCTGATTTTTTCCGCATCTATTCGTCTATTTTTTCGAAAACAAAATGTCCTCTGCTCTCCTGCTTGCCCTTTTCACAGAGACACACACATGTATTAACAGGGCAGTCCAGCTACAGTCTAACATCACCATAATATACATTTATGTCACCACAATACCAGAACACCTTGTTTTGTGATTTAATCAATCTCCATCCTGCTTTTGTTCTCTGCTGTATGAATATGAAGTATCTTAGTCTTTTAAAGCCTGTCCCTCCCTGGTGTGTGTCTCTCTCTGTGTGTGTGTCTCTCTGTCTCTCTGTGTGTTTGACTGTCTGTGTGTGTTTCAGTTCAGTTCATGGCGGCGTGTGGTCGCAGCTTCAGGACATCCACGAGTCGTTCGGCCTCAGATACCAGTGGGGGGGCTCCTACTGCAACAAAGCACTACTCTGCTGCCTGGGCATCGACACCCGCAATATTGTAAGTCTCTGCTGGACCCTGCTGGACCCCAAGTGGCCTAACACCTCATTCATTTAGCTGGAAAACAAGGGAAAGAAATGTAAAACCACTGTAGCATGCACAGAATGTAATCAATGTGTGTCATGTAGGATGTAATAAGAGCTATTTTGTCCCCTTTTGAATTTAGAAATTGACAAATGACTTTCTGATCTGCTTAAAGCACATTTTTAGAAGACATGTGATGCCACTTAAAGTAATCTGTACCCTGTATTGACCTCTTCATGCAGCCATTAGGCTCTGCAACATGAAACTAAACCTTCCTCTCAGTGACAGTTGTGTTTACATGAACTCCTCAGCAGGATTGTGTGTGAGATATTTAGAGTTGTTTCTGACCTGCTGCTTCACTGTGCAGCTGTTCACGGGACAGAAGAAGCAGCCGGTCATCGTGCCCATGTACGCCGCCAGCCTGGTGAGTCCTGCGCCTTCTCTCACACACACACACACACACACACACGCACACACACACACACACACTGGAACACTTCACCAGTTCATGTGTTTACTGATAATCATGTAGCCACAAACAGAGGCTTCTTAGCGTCACCATTAATATTCATTTGGCTGGGAACAGTCTCATATTTATAGTCCAACAACGATGTGCATCTGATATCTGAGTGAAAACATTATCAACATCAGTCTTGATAACTAATCTTCCGGTTTTGGACTTCACAAAAGCAACAATCTGATGTTTCCTTGAGGCTTTTTCTTAGCCTTTCAAAAAGGACACTCGCTGCAAGTAAAGGGAGGGACGTATAGAGATGAGTTATATTCCTTAAAGACGGAAATCAAACTCCTGCTGGGTGTGTTTCCAATAGTATTTATAAAATGAGTTAGGAAGGACAGTAACCTCTCATAACACCAGATTGCTGCAGTGTAACACCTCTGATTTCACCAGAAACATGACAGACTGTTTCATGCAGGTCTCACTTTCTAAAACATTTTTTATGAACATATTCACAGGAGACATGAACAAGCTTTCTAAAACTGACCTATAGTAATTATAATAACTGTGTGTGTGTGCAGGGGATGCTGGAACCCACCAAAGAGCCCGTGAAGCCCGTCTCTGCAGCGGAGATGATCACCTCGATAGCCCAGACCCCTCCTCCGGCTCCAGAGACAAAAACCTCGTGTCCCGCAGACTCAGCCCCGGTGAGACGGAGACACTGAGACACACTCATGGGATGTTAGTTTTACTGACACCTGAGGGTCTGCAAGCCGATTTACAAAATGCTGCATTAGACTTGTTTTGTTCATGCAAAGACCCAAAACCAACACTAAATATGTGTATTTATTGATGTATTTTAAGTGTGTATCAAATAGCAACAGAGTTTAATGGATATGGATTTTCTGCATGTGAGTTTTGGTTTTATGTCAATTTCAGGCTTTGATACACACACAGAGTACTTGATGTATAACCTGACCTCCTCTCTCCTCTCCAGCAGGAGGCGCTCCCCCCCGTCCAGTTTGACTGGAGCAGCAGTGGCCTTACCAACCCTCTGGATGGTAGGCGACCCTCACACTGAACCCCCCCCCCCACTCCTCGCTTCTGTCTCTCGTCTGTCTTTCTCAAACCTTTCTAACTAACATCGTGTTTTCTCACACCCTGACTCAGCATGGACATTTCAGATATGTAACACTTTGTAGATGCATACAACGTTCTTCATTAAAGGAAACGATCCACAAACATTACAACACTGCGGGTGAAACAAATAGTGAACCTAAGAAGTGGTAGGGACAGGAAGTCAGACCCATTGGAAGGGGACTGGCAGGAGATCTGAAGTTCTTTGGGGCGTTTTGACTGTTTTTTTTAAGCCTTTTTAGTTTAGTTGAACAAATGATCAATAATTAAAATAATGCCAGGTACCTGTGTTATTTGACCTTGGACACACAAATGCATAGAGAGCTGCTTAGGAAGGGTTTCCTAACTATACTTTCTAATGTTGAATAACAAGTAAATACGGCATTACATTTAAACTTGAATCATTTGCAGACTGGTTTTAAAGTGCAGCAAGGCTGGGTATCATTTAAGATGTTTTGATTCAAGATGATACCCGACTTAATACTTTTACATTTAAGATGTTTATATTTAACTCGCGCTTTAAACTTTTTGGTTGTCATGCTTCAGACATAATTAAGTATTTATCCGCAGTGAGTGAAGGTGGATCTTTCCCTTTAACCCTCTTGATAAAAAACAACATGGCCGCTCTGCATGAAGACATGTGTAACATAGAGCTGACTCTACTCTTCTGTCACTGACTCTGCTGCATGTTTCTGGTTTCGTGTGTGTGTGTGTGTGTGTGTATGATTGTGTGTGTGTATGATTGTGTGTGTGTGTGTGTGATTAACCCCGTGCAGCCAGCGGAGGCTCTTCTCTGTTAAATCTGGATTTCTTTGGTCCTGTGGAGGATTCAGGCTCCAGCAGCTCTCCCTCCATCCCAGGTCAGCAGCTGATCCCTGCCTCTTCCTCCTCTTCATCTTCTTCTTGATATTAACCTCGCATCTCCGCTTTCTGCTGCTTACACTCGCCTCTGGTAGAATTTAGCGTAAATCGGAAGGTTTCATGACTATCATCATAAGTGTGTTTATCATGTGGAGTCCGAGTCAGATCAAGAGTTGACTTGGTAATAAGTACTTTTTCACATCCACAAATTATACTTTGTATTTGGGTTAGGGGTTATCTCCATAAAGATAAACATAGTAAGAAGAGGTGACAAAAATAAGTACTGCAAAAAAACTAAAATAAATACGAAAAATAGGAACAATAACAATTTGAACATGTGTGTATATATACCAAAGAAAACTCCATGACGTGTACACAAAAAAAAAGTATATAAAACGAACATATTCGAGCAGTATATGGTTTAACTGTAAACATGTTTTGCATACCTTTTGTATGTATTTGACTGTGCAAATTAAACGGTTAATGTTTTTGACATACAGGAAAATAAGAAAAATACTTAGTTTTATTCAAGGTGGGAAGGAGTGTCACTTTGCGCCGCCTGCTGCTTCTTTAAAAAGAGACGCAATACTTCACACATCAAATAAATAAAATAGTGACATAATGCAAGAAAAGTGAGTTTTTCTCAAAGTGAGAAGCTAACTGTCTGCTTTTTTTTAATTCTCCTTTTTAACTAAACGACAAGAGTTTTGCTCACTTCCTGTGAATCTTAAAAAAAACTAACGAAAAACAACCTTGAATGACAAGAAAAACTTTTGCTTTGACTCTCCGTCTCCTCTTCCCAGTAGGAGTGGACCCGGAGCTGTACGAGCTGACGACGGCGAAGCTGGACTCGAGCGGCTCGGGGAGTCGAGTCGCCGACGCCTTCGCCCGCCTGATGTCCACCATGGAGAAGACCAGCACCTCCACCAGGTCAGAGAGGAGGAGGAGGAGGGGGGGGGCATGTGATGTTCCTGCATTTAACTGACTCAATCTGATGTTCAGGGTAAACTCTGTCATAATGGTGGCAGCAAGTACTAAAACCTGAACATTAGTCAGCATTTTGACCAGTTTTGGTTCCATCGCCTCAAAATCAATGTTTCTTTTAACGTGTTTATGGTTAGAGGCCTGAAAAAGGTTCTCTGGTTGGAAGTTGGAGAGATTTTCATGTTTTATTCTACAACATAAACTACTCAGTAAATACCCCACTGGTGAATACAAAAACGGTGGTTGCTATCAACTTGTCTAAATGAGACAACTAAACATCATCATGCCCACATTAGCCGCCGTTAGCTTAGCGGTGGTGACTTGAAGTCATGTGACCGTGCTGTAGTTCCTTTATAGCCCAACATTAGCCTCCTTTAGCTTAGCGGTGGTGGCGTGAAGTCATGTGACCGTGCTGTAATTCCTTTATAGCCCAACATTAGCCTCCTTTAGCTTAGCGGTGGTGACGTGAAGTCATGTGACCGTGCTGTAGTTCCTTTATAGCCCAACATTAGCCTCCTTTAGCTTAGCGGTGGTGGCGTGAAGTCATGTGACCGTGCTGTAGTTCCTTTATAGCCCAACATTAGCCTCCTTTAGCTTAGCGGTGGTGGCGTAAAGTCATGTGACGTGCTGTAGTTCCTTTTATAGCCCAACATTAGCCGCCGTTAGCTTAGCGGTGGTGGCGTGAAGTCATGGGAGCGTGCTGTAGTTCCTTAATAACCCAACATTAGCCGCCGTTAGCTTAGCGGTGGTGACGTGAAGTCATGTGACCGTGCTGTAGTTCCTTTATAGCCCAACATTAGCCTCCTTTAGCTTAGCGGTGGTGGCGTGAAGTCATGTGACCGTGCTGTAGTTCCTTTATAGCCCAACATTAGCCTCCTTTAGCTTAGCGGTGGTGGCGTGAAGTCATGTGACCGTGCTGTAGTTCCTTTATAGCCCAACATTAGCCTCCTTTAGCTTAGCGGTGGTGATGTGAAGTCATGTGACCGTGCTGTAGTTCCTTTTATAGCCCAACATTAGCCGCCGTTAGCTTAGCGGTGGTGACATGAAGTCATGTGACCGTGCTGTAGTTCCTTTTATAGCCCAACATTAGCCGCCGTTAGCTTAGCGGTGGTGGCGTGAAGTCATGTGACCGTGCTGTAGTTCCTTTTATAGCCCAACATTAGCCGCCGTTAGCTTAGCGGTGGTGGCGTGAAGTCATGTGACCGTGCTGTAGTTCCTTTATAGCCCAACATTAGCTGCAGTTAGCTTAGCGGTGGTGGTGTGAAGTCATGTGACGTGCTGTAGTTCCTTTAGAGTCAAACATTAGCTTTTCAGCAAAATCTAACATAAAAATCCCTTTGTTTTTTTGTTATATATGTTGTATCCTTCATCACTGCACCACTCTTTCTGCTCAGGTGTGTATTCAGGTGTGTGTGGTAACATGTTGTGTGTGTGTGTGTGTGTGTGTGTGTGTGACAGGAAGCCGAGGAAGGAGGAGAATCTGAGCGACGAGGCGTCCAAAGTGATCTCCCTTCTGCCCGACCTCTCCTTCATGCAGGCCAAAGTTTTGATGTTTCCCGCCACGCTGACGCCGCTCGGCTGCCAGGCAACCACAGACTAAAGCCCCGCCCCCTCAACTGACATCATCAACCGACACCTAAGCCCCGCCCACTGCCTCGGCCCATTTTAACCAGTTCTCATTTTCTTCTTCTTCTTTTGCCGCGGCTCAGTTCCTCCCTTTCATACTTTTTTATTTTATTAAGTTGCGCTTTTCTTTTCTGATCACAGGAAACGGGGGGGGAGCGCTCAGACGACGACCTGCACAGAATAGGAGATTAATTAATTTATAGAGTTGCTAATTTATAGAGGAAGGCGTAGAAGTGTTCTAGAAGAATCATCATGTATATAATCAGGGATTAAATGTTTAATTTCCTTTCTTTTTTTTTTTATTCTGAATGATTTCTGGATGATTTTACGTCTGAGTGTCTGTGAAGGAAACACTGGCTGAATCAAAGTGAAGTGGTATATATGTTTAAATTAATACATTTATAAACGTATATATAAAATCTATATATATATATTTATCGACTTGAAACCACACTGCCTGCAGAATCCAGCTGATCGTCTTGTGTTTAAAGGCCTTAGTTTTTACCCGTAGATTTTAACGTTTCTTTAACCCGCTCCGTGTCTTTCTTTCTGTTTGTAATTGAACAGCTTTTTAACGTAAATTATGTCGCACCCCATTTACTTTTTCTACAGTCTATCCGCCGTTTCTAGAACTGAAGGACGACTGTTTATATTTACTTTGGGAACCGACTAAACGCTGGTGTGTCTTTTCATTTTTATTCCACGTTTAATTTTTCTACACATTCCAGCTTTTGGATATAAAACAAGTTTCCTTCCTTGTTTGAGTCCTCACTCACTGTTCCTCATTTGTTATTGTTTTTGGGGGGGTGTTAAAACAGGACTTTTTTTTTTGGGTTAAAACCACTTTAACTTAAGGTTTCTCGTCAGTGAAGGTCGACTCGAATCAGAAGGGAATTAAGGGACCAATGTCTGCTTCCTCGTGTCGGGTTTTGTTCTCTGTTCCTAATATGAAGTGCTTTTTGTTGTTGCCGCTCATGTTTTGTTGTTTTGCTCATACTACTGTCAGCCCCGTCTCCCAGGAGGATTTTGCACATTGTAAAGATGAAATGGATGTAATCATAGTTCACTGTGGCTTTAGACTGTGTACAGTTAAACTATGGACTGTCAAATGTTACGGGAAAATTCCTATGGAAAAAGACTGAATCACTTGAAGAGCCTGTCAAACGGTTTTCGTGCATGCCCGGGTTCTTTTGAGACTATAAGTGTGTAAATTTTACTTTTAGTGTACACAAGAAATTAAAATAGTTATCTTCTCCGCTCGCTTCTGTTTCTTTCGGACGCACATGAACACTTTCATCAACCAAGTCTTGTTTTATTCAAGGAGTTCTCACAGACATGCAGGAAAATATATGTATCAATTCTGGCCAAAATGTTAAAGGTGGGGTTAGGGTATTCACTTCAGAAACACTTTGTTATATTCCATGGAATGCTCTCAACATCCCGATAGCAATGAATACATGAAATGCTTTGACAATAAATACATTAAAAAAAAAATTCATCTGTGGAAGCTGTGGCGCTGTAAAAAGTACGACCAATCATCTGAGCCGGCCCGGGTAAAATAACTGGATGGCCTACCTGCCTGTCAGCCTTCCATCTGTGCACAAACTTATCTCGTGCCCTCATTGGTAACACACACTCACATACTGTAACACACACACACTCACATACTGTAACACACACACACTCACATACTGTAACACACACACACTCACATACTGTAACACACACTCACATACTGTAACACACTCTCATACTCACATACTGTAACACACACTCACATACTGTAACACACACACATACTATAACACACACACACTCACATACTGTAACTCACACACTCACATACTGTAACTTACACACACTCACATACTGTAACACACACTCTCATACTCACATACTGTAACACACACACATACTATAACACACACACAGACACACTCACATACTGTAACACACACACACACACACTCATATACTGTAACACACACACACTCACATACTGTAACACACACACACACACTCATACTGTAACACACTCACACGCACTCACTCACACACTCGCATACTGTAAAATAACTGGATGGCCTACCTGCCTGTCAGCCTTCCATCTCGTGCACACTTATCTCGTGCCCTCATTGGTCATGTGCGCGTTCGTGTGTGTTGGAGGAGGGGCTCTGTAAGGAAGTCTGAAGGAAGGGGCAGATTCTTTTCGGCTGCGTACTTTCAAATTGTAGCGCACTCGAGCTGGTTTCTCCATTCTTACCTACCCTACCTTTAACAGAGGCTAACTTGTGCTAACAAATAAATAGACATTACATTGTTTATAAAATAAATTAACCTGTAAAGAAAAATGGCAAAAATATTTGCATTATGTTCAAAGAAATGCATTCAATTCACTGTAACATAATAATAATAATAGAAATATATAATATAAATTTAACCTGTTTTTATTTAATTACACTATTAACTAGCTTAGTCAATTTATTTATTTGTCCAACTTATTTAGAGACTGAATAATTAAGAATGCTACTATACTATTACTAGAATTAGGCAATATCAATCAAATGACAGGAAGACAAAGATGAGATCATTTTCATTTAATGTATAAAATAAAATTACTAAAGTGCCCCCCCCCCCCTCAGAGCTGAATCCTCATCACATTCAAATAATAATAATAATAATAATAATAATAATCGCCGTCAGAAGGAAACATGATGTATTGCATAGGAGAAGGCACCGATGTACAGAATAACTTCATCCCTCCCTTTAATGTCCAGTACAAACCTGCAGAGCCACAGAGCTGCTACAAACAACAACAATAATACAAACATTTGGTTTGATGAGAACAACCAATCTTTCATTCTCTGGATGGAAACAGACAAAGAAGAGTCAGGATAAACAACATGGAGCCAGTTTTAAAATGATTAAATCGATTACATCTAAATAAAATAAGGGTTTGGGAAGTCACATTCTTCATACTTATATTTAGAACCAAAGAACACGGTTTTCTGATATTTTGGATGCTGATACTCCTCTATGAATAAGGGTTTAAAACACACACAGCACCATGTAACTTATTCTTCATAAAAAACAGTGTGTAATGTTAATATTTTATTAATTCCTATCCCTAATTTAGATCCCTGTCTCTACGTTTTAAATACTGGTTAACAACAGGTGGATGCTTACACTGAAAATGTGTTTAAAGTAAGTGATTTGAAGCTGTACAAATAAATAAATACAGTGTGAATAGTGGAGGAACAACTCCAGGAAGATCTTAGCAATACAAAAGAAAAGGTATTGAATCTTAAAAAAGGCATTGGATGTTGAATTAAAGTCAAGTATGATGGCTTTTATCTAAAACACATAAGGACACATGCAGTACTACTCACTGGTGTAACTCCCTGCTGTTCCCGCGTCTGTCCAGCAGGGGGCGACACAGTTCACCTTTAACACTGCACTGCGTTTAACTGCCATTCAATTAAATCACATTTTAATGTTATTTTCCACTTTTACTGAGTTAGATCTCTTTACCAGCTTCAGCTCAGATAGCTTCTTAACAAAACTACCAGATATTTATAAAGGTTAAGATTTTGGAAATGCCAGTTTGTTTACATAATGCCATTTTTGGTGTAAAACACACAAAATGCAAGGGGGATTTTTTTCATATATCAATGATTAGCAACATTGATTTTAAAGCATTGCAATAACTAAACATAGAAAATGTATTGGGCCACTGATATTTAGATCTAGGCACACATCAGCAAGTTTAATCCCGGTTGAAACGTAAAAAAAACTATTTTATTTAAAGTTTCTATTCAGATTTAGTCACTTCAAACTGGACCACTGTTTATCCATATACAACTTTCTCTCACACACACACACACACACACACACACACACACACACACACACACACACACACACACACACACAGTGGCATAGGTTGAATTGAGCGCGTATGCATTGCTGAAATCCTAAAATATATTACATAGTATTACAAAAAAAACCTCCGATCATTTATTAAATGACGGAATATTTCATAGACTTCCACCCAAAATGGCCTCGGAGTTAAGCCTGAACTGAGAGGGCAGCCTTGGTGGAGAAATCCTTTACAAAGAATACATATTTATGTTTCTGTACAAACCAAATATTAGTGTCCAGAGATACAATAAATACACACAGAGCCGCGGGGTAATAAATAATTCATAGAGTTATTTCTGGTAAAGGGAACGTCTGCGTGTGAAACCTTGCGTCACCATTTTACTACAAACCATCAACATACTTTTTTTTAACTCCAGGTTGAAATGTAGCTCTCAAAACTTTTATTTTAGTAAGAAATCATTTCATTGGTTGAGTTAAAAGTGAGCGCTGACAAACACATTTGAGACGATCTTTATATTTTTGAACTTCTGAAGAAGGGCTAGCGTACTTTATGCTAAGCTAAGTTGGGTTATGAAGTCTGATAACACAGACAAGTTGTTGGTGTGGCTGTTAGCTTAAAAACATCCTATGTCTGTCCAGTGCAGGGGTGTCAAACTCAATTTCATCGCGGGCCACATTCGCATATAGGTTGCACTCAAAGGGCCGGTTGTAACTATATAAATATAGAATATATATATAAAATAATGTATTATATTACATCATTGCCTCTGAATTGGATTATTATCGGATAGGATAATAACTTAGTAATTAACTACGTCTGAAAGCAGAAGTCCAGGGCAAATAATTGCAAGTCTCTTCAGTGTGCATGTCACAAAACGAGATGCATTGTGGGACATGTAGTTTATGGGCAACCTGCTTCTGTAAAGTGGCATGTAACCGTATAATAAACGTATTATATTCTTTGCAAGCTCTTGCGGGGCCACATAAAATGAAGTCGTGGGCCGGATTTGGCCCCCGGGCCTTGAGTTTGACACCCCTGGTCCAGTGTAAAGAAACTAGACATTATGCATTTCTTGCATTAGGAGGGAAAATCTAAAAGTTATATATTGTTGCCTTTTACCAACCCTTGAAGTGCAAAACTAGGGGTCTTTTGAAGGTAAGACAATACATTTACAGAGCCGATTAAAAAACTAATAATTTGTGGGAGTAATAAACTGATAACTATAGAAAAAAAACCTCAAGAAAATCCTATGTTCTTGGAGATTTCAAAGTCAAAGAAAAAAATCTTAAATTATCTGGGAGGCGTGTGGCGCAGTGGATAGTGCGTTGGTGTTCGGATCAGGTTCAAGTAAGTCGCTTTGGATAAAAGCGTCTAACAAGTAACATGTAATGTCATGTAATGTAATATTAGATGAAAGTCAAGAATTTAAGTGAAAAAACCTGGAAAAATAATGTATTTTTGTGAAGTAAAATGAAATTATTACCTTTAATTTTAAATAATATTTATAATTGAGTTCCTTGATTTTCAGCTAAAATACACTTCCTAGTTTAGCTCAGGTTTGAACTCAACCAATAAGATGTTTTCCTCTTTGTGTTTCCAAAAGTAAAGGTTGTTTTTAAACCAGAAACTGTGACAGACTTAACAACAACAACAACAACAACAGCAGTGATTACTGTTCAGACACAAAGTCGATCTGTAGGCAGGAAGTAAGTCGGATATTATGAGCAACAAACCGGCTAAAGAAAATGAAAACTAGAAACTTAAAGTCTGCTGCTATTATATATGTTTCCTTGTTGTCAAATCCAATAAAAACACAAATAAATATAATATGTTATCTGCTTTTTTTCCTTGGATTGGTGGAAAAATACATAAAAACATCAGACGTTATGTTTCCGTTTGAAAAACAACAATAGAAATAGCTCAACATTCACACACGTCGAGATGCTCTCACACTCGTTCTGGACCGAAGTATCTCTGCAGGCGGGATCCTCTTCAAAAGGTATAACATGATGCATTGTGGGTAATTAAGAACAGGTATTGCTTCGTGACGAGCGACAGCAAGACGTGACGGCGTGATCGAGGTTTTAGAAAAAGGCACTGGATTGTTTTTTTTTTATAAATGCTATTGAGATTTCTGTCTTCATCTCATATTTGTGGAAACATGCACCGGCGGTAGAAAAAAAGTCTCTTTTTGTTCTTTACAATTTCTCGGACAGCGGTAGGAAACGGGACTTCAGGCCGGAGTTATCGGAGCTGGAAGACAAACTCTGAGCTCATTGTGTCTCTGAGAGGGAGTTATTCACACGGCGGGTCCTCAGTGTGGAGCTCAGGGTTCTCAATGCTGTAACTCAGGGATTAACGCTGCGGTGTGTGTTTTTATACACATGATTGGTCTCATCTGATTCACACATTAAAGGCCTGGTCAATCCAGCATTCAGAGCTTCACAATCTGCAGGAAAATCAGTAAATCCAAACCAAGTTAAACTCAATTTGGACATTATTATTTGCACCATTGACAAATAGCAAGCTGTCTTGGCAAAAAAGGAGGATGCTATCGTAGCTTATAAGCTATTTTCCTTTATCCAGTTAATTAAACGTCCTCTTTTAGGGTATACAAAGTTTAGGAGAGTGCCACAGTGACGCGTCCTGAGTAAACTCTTTCCGGTTCCTTCGACAAAAACCAATGCAATTTCGGATAATCTCCACATGTCTACCCTACTTTTATCATTTTCTAATCATAAATCTATCGATTAGATTTATGATTGGAGAATTATAAAAGTAGGGTAGACATGTGGAGATTATCCGGCTGAACAAAACGTGATCCGTCTCTTCAATTTGTGTCAACCACAGACCTTATTTCCAGCTATTTTCCAAAATCTTATGGAGAAATGTCATTGGTTTTTGTCGAAGGAACCGGAAGTGGTAAAATGCTAACTTACTTCCTGGTTTTAGGACGCGTCACTGTGGCACTCTATTCATGAGGATGAATAGCTGTGAGGATGTTCTGCCTGTTAGCAGTTTAGCTAACATGTTTGTTATGCAGTTAGCAAGCTAGCTAGTTCAAAGCCCTGAGAACCAGAAGCTCCATGGCTTTTGTAGCTGCTAAGTGCTAGCATTTAGGCTAAAGTAAAACAAGGCTATTATGAAAGATAGCCTTGTTTTATTTAGAGGTTGTTGGTTTTGGTCAAAGCACCAAAAAGAGCTGGAAGGCCTTTTTTTCCTACCTGTAGCTCGGCACAAACAAGCGTTAACTACATCACTGAGCTTTAAAACCAAATATTGACCAGGCCTTTATACCGTGTTTACTACTTTTGAACTTAAGTTTCATTAACACAACCACCTGCCTGAAACCTCCAGTGGATTTCTCTCCGTGTGAAATCCAGCTCGTGTGATTTATCAGTGACTTCCCGCAGCAGCTGTGATCCTCCAGACGACCCAGAGTGAAGCCCGTTGTTACTTTGAAAACTGTACAAAATGAACAAAAGCGTCACTAAGTTCTGCTCAGCTGCCCACCAGCACCTCCATGATGTGGTCCAGCTCGGCCAGGTCCATTTTGAACGGCTGGTTCTGACCGCCCGTCGCTCCGAAACCCGACATCGAACGCACCAGATCGTCCGCCGTCACCATGGGGGCCATCTTGGAAGGAGGGGCTCCTGATGGGCCGAGGTCGTACATCGACGTGTCAATGTCTGTGAAGAGGACGTCGTCCAGGGTGAAGTCAGTGAGGAAGGAGTGGGACTGGGAGGGAGGAGGAGGAAGAGGAAGAAGGGGAGGAAGAGGAGGAAGAGCAGGAGGTTTACTCTCCACCTCTTCCTCCTTCATGATAACATCAAATAAAACCTGAGCAGGAGGCGGTGATGGCGACTCTGAGGAGGAAGGACAGAGTTCCTCGATTTCCTCCAGGGCCGAGGAGAAGCTGTCTTTGGGGGACGGAGAGGGCGATGGTGGCATCCTGGGGGAGAGGAGCAGGTGCTGGGAGGAGGAAGAGGAGGAGGAAGAGGAGGGTGGAAGAGTGAAGAACATGGGAAGATCCTCCTCCAGCAGCGAGGCGGGGGTGAGGCAGGAGTCCGTCAGCAGTCCGGACATCGAGGAGGAGAGGATGCTGAAGGAGGAAGATGAGGAAGATGGGGAGGAAGATGGAGGCTGATGGAAGCTCTCGTCCTCGCTCACAGTTGATGAAGAGGAGAAGAAGAGCGCCCCGACGCCCCCCCCCTCCTGCCTGAAGTCTCTGTGGATGCGCTGGATGACGTTGTTGATGAGCACGCGGCGCTGCAGGCGGAGGTCGGCGGGCCGCGGGCCGTACAGCTTCATCAGAGACATGTTGAGGAGGGTCTGCCGGGCGGAGAAGGTCTGAAACACAACGCCTCCTGAGGGGGGGCGCCGCTCTTCCTCCAGGACGTCCTCATCATCGTCAAGTTTACGCTTCACCCCGTTACCCAACATGGATCTGAGGACAGAGACGGAGACAGAGGTCAGAGAGAGGCCACAAGAATAATAGTGATAATTCATTAAATGTTTTATTAGAGCGATTAGGGTGAAGTGCCCAAGCACACAACGGCCTGGCGCAGTGGCGGCCGAGGCGGGTTTCGAACTGATGATCTGATCTGATGGTCAACGCTCTAGCCCACTGCACCAACATCATAAATGAGAGAAAGCTGCACAGTATCAAAGATTCACGGATGAAGAAAAACATTTATCCCGGACGAAGAAACTGAAATGTGGCAACAACAGATATTGAAAATAAATATGATATACTCGGGATGCACAATGGACCGTATGTTATGAAATCTCAATATGGAAAGTTGCAGGAAGCACAATATTTGGTAAAAGCAAAATATGCAAAAAAAAAAGTATTATAATTAAATATTGTGGTTCATCAGAGAAGTGCTGGCTGCAAAAGTATTCTACAGACTATTTTTTAAAATCCTTGTTCGGTACAGATCCATCAATATAAAAATAATCACATTATGATAATTTCATTTTATTTTCAATGATAATGCGAATCATATTTCAAACCGATCATTACCTCCAATATCGTGAAACCCTTTTTTCATCACAGCAAAGCATTGACTTTACACAACATGAAGGTATTGAATACTTTGTAAAGTATATATGATAGTTTTGAGTGTTTTGAGGCAAAAAGTTCATGTTAAGGGTCTTTCTTGGGCTTTGAAACTTTGGAGAAATCAAATCTGGATGATGAGCGGCCTCCTCACAAACTGTGATGAGAAATGTGTGTGTGTGTGTGTGTGTGAGCAGTCAGCTGACCTGCTCCCATGTGAGCCTCAGTCAGCTGATTGGGTGGGAGTCAGTCTGACACCTTCTGACTCCCTGAACAACAAAACACAGGAAACAGGCCACTTCCGTACTGAAACACACACACACACACACACACACACACACACACACACACACACACACACACACACACACACACACACACACACACACACACACACACACACACACACACACACACACACACACACACACACACACACACACACACACACACACACACACACACACACACACACAACACACCACACACTACACCACACACAGCACACACCACACACACAATTGAGTGACTCAAAAATGTGAAACTTATGTGAAATCAGCCTCTGAAATGTCATGACCTTTACATTAATGTTAAAGGTCATAACAAAGTGTGAAAAATGACAGACCTTCCTCACTCATGACACACCTTTAGATGTTATGCACAATTAAGAATATAACATAGTTGTATCAGATTTAGAAACTGACGTGAACACTTTCAATCACTACTACTTTATTTATGATATCTCTGACCTTCATCCGGTAGAGGGATTTAAAGGGGTAGTTTGGACAGTTTGAAGTGAGGGAAAACCCCCCCAAAAAGGTCTCTTTTACATTATATGCTAATCAAGGAACATCGGATGTGTACTTGAGTACTTGAGTAGTTGAGTAGTGTGTACTTATTTACTCTGTTTGAGTGCAGATGAAGCAGCTGTGGGGGGGATTTGAACCGGTGACCTCGCTATTTCTCGGCCAACAGGGGTCTGAAAGTGCTGAGAGACTGAAAGAGGCAGCGCACACACACCCACACCCACACCCACACACACACACACACACACACACACACACACACACACACACACACCACACACACACACACACACACACACACACACACACACACACACACACACACACACACACACATCTTATATATGATTATTCATGTGCTCGCCCGCCTCCTCTCTGCTTTAGACCCTTGTGGGGCCCCTCAGAGGCCATCTGCTCCGACACCCAGAGGACGAGGTGAGGGGGTGATGGGCGAGACAGAGAGTGAGGTAGAGAGAGAGAGAGAGAGAGAGAGAGAGAGATGTTTTCCTCCCCCCTGTCTGTCTGTAATTTTCATAATGAAACTGAACTGTGATCGAGCATCCTTTCAAATCAAGACTGAATCTTGTGACTGACAGAGGTTCAAAAATGTTACCCCCCCCCCCTCTCTCTCTCTCTCTCCTCCCCCATTCTCCCCCTCTGGCAGCTGTCTGTCTGATGAAGTGAAAATCCCAAAATAGTTTCAGAAACTCTGCATTTGTGAGTAAAAAAACATGTCGTCTTTGTCATGAAGATCTGACAGGTCAGGTGTGTGTAGGTGTGTGTTTGTATGTGTGTGTGTGTGTGTGTGTGTGTGTGTGTGTGTGTGTGTGTGTGTGTGTGTGTGTGTGTGTGTGTGTTGCATACCTTTCCATTGAGTAAAGTATCAGAGCTGGTGTTGTGTTACAGCGCTCTGCTCTCACAGTGCAGAGGGAGACTCAGTATATAAACTCTGGTGGTCACATGACCTCCTGTCCAGGTGACCTCAGGTACCTGGATCCACTCGTTTTTAAATCTAAGGTGAGTTTGATGTAGTGATTTCAGTTTTTATCTCCAGTTACGGCTGCAAATATCGATAGTTTTCTATTAGCTGATTATTTTTCGGGCTTTCCATTTCCTCGAGACATAGGTATCGTCATCAAATGCCCAAAACCCAAAGATATGAAAGATACTTCACTGTTAAGACCAAACTAGTCAACACATTTAGTCAGTACATTTGAATTAAAAAAGAATACTGAAATCGATTTTGCACACCTATATTCAATGAGACTTGTGGAGAGGGACGAGTGCAACACAAGTTCAAAACTAACTGCTGCATGTGTCCAACCTGCTGAGGGACATTTATTGTATACATTCTGGTGTTCGACCTTCATCAGGCCGATGCAGTGAGTCTGTTTGAAACAATGCATCGGTAATCTCTCGTAGTTGCTGATTGATTTTCTATCAATTAACTAAATCAACTTATTATTGCAGCTCTGTTATGCATCGTTCAGGGTGAGAACAACAAACTTTTTCGGATGTATAGATAGACGTTTTGAGTTTTCTTAAACACTCAACATCGTTACTGATGTTTTTCTCCCCTTTTTTTTACCAAATAGGACAAAGAAAAAGAGAAAATCTTTACATTTAAGGAGCTGGAAGAATCAAATCTCAGGTACGTTTGATTTAAAAATGACTTCAAACTATTTAACTTCAAAGTTGTGCCAAAATATGTAATGACAATTGGCTTACGTTCACACTGATCACATTCAGAGTCAGGGACGTGCACAGGTACGGGCTATTGTTGCCCGGGCAACGGCCCGTTTGCCCTGACGAGTTTATTATTTATTTTTTCTACAATTAGTATTGTAGCGTCTCGCTGCGATAAAACACACCTTGTCAGCGCTGTCATCTGCCGGTGCGTTAAAGACCACCTCTAGTGTCGGATTTTGGAAAATTGATTTTGAGTTTTCTCATGGCAGTTAGAGTATAGGCGACAAACCAGGGGACTTATCTTCCTCTTGACACCGTCTGTTATTTACAAAAAAACACCTAAATATACTTGTTATTGTGTTTCTGTCTTTTCATCTGTAAACTCCCTATCTCTCTTCTCTTGATCGCCCTCTCTCAGGAGAACACTTCACTGTCCCGCTTCATTGTAGGATTTCTGCCATGTCTCTACTTCAGTTTGACCATCTCTGTTATGAAGTTATGGAATACTAAATAAATAAGTAATTAGATACCGTACCGTTACTGCGCTCATAAAGAATGATAAGAATAAGAATAATGCATATTGAACTGGTTTCATTAATTAGTGAGTTTATTTAAGGTAATTAGTTAGAAGCCCTATTTTATCAGTATGTCTGCACAGCAGTTACAATGGTCTGGTCAAACTACATTAAAACAGAATTGTCCCCATTTTCTCTTTAATAGTTACTAACATTAGATATTTTAATGAGATATGGACCGCAAAACAAAAAATGTCCCTGGTTTTCCTTTTATGAACTACCGAATGCAAGTAGTCGCCTTAGCTTATTTTGTTATGAGATGATAATGTGAATTACTCTTCAAATTAGTTAATGTAAAAATCGTTTGGTTTCTTTTACATTAAAAACAAGTTAGAATTTTTCAAAAGGTCTTATGTTTTTTTTCGGGGGGGAGGCCCTTTTTCCAGTTTAGAGCAATAGCCCCTCCAAATGTCTGCGCACGTCCCTGTTCAGAGTTGTTTAAAATTCTGCATATTTTCCTTCTTAATCTTCCAGAAACCGCTGACACACCTGTAACAACTCACCTGTGGCGTGAGAAACATTCATTAACATCAAATTGTAATACAATTAGTCACAGCACACACCAAAAACGAAACCAGCAACCTCAGAGTCATGTGACTTGACTTGTTTGTAAATCAGCTGCTTCAGCGTAAATGAAACTAAAATCAGCAAAGTTACTTTTCTAATTTAAAGGGGACCTATCATGCAAAATGCACTTTGTGATGTCTTTTATACATACATATGTGTCCCCGGTGTGTCGGGGAACTCACGCAGCGTCAGAAAATAAAACCCTCTCTTTTCCTCCGTACCCAAATCTTTTAAAAACGGGGGTACAACGAGCGGATACAGATTCCATCCGATATGACGTCAAATCGGCGGCGGACCCACAGAGAGTTGCTATCAGAAACAATGCCTGACGTGTTTTGGACGTAATCTCGTCTTTGTTTACATTAGCGAGCCTCGCTAACACTCAGAGCTAACCTGTACTGGAGAGCTGTTTAAAAAGCAGGAAATAAAAAAAGAACTCACCTTGTGATAAACCCGCAAGAGAAAAAGCATTTGAGCTCCATACTGTTTCAGAAATAATCCTTGATGTGGTTTAGAACAGGATGGCGTTTTATCACAGCAGAATTTAACTTTATCTCCAGTAGAATTCTGATCAGGCATTAGCTCCGCCTCCTATTTATATTTTTTCAAGCTAAGGACCCAAGATCTGCGTTTCTCTAACAGGGCTGCAAAAGAGGGGTTTGAGCAGTATGAGGCATGGCTACAATGGCTGAACTGTTTGGTATTTTGAAAAAAAAACTTCACAGACATGTTTTGTATAGGTATGGCC